AATCCTTTTGAATGGGTCCCTATGAGCTTCAAAATCTCCAAAAGTTTGGCTGTGGCCGGAATAACATGGACATCAAACAGTAACAAAGCTTCGAGCCGTACGACGTTAGTTTTATTTAAACGGGAAAAAGCTTTTAGTACGGGTCTGAACTTTTACTTTGCACTTGTTATTACGTGATCTTTATACTTTGTTCGACGTTATAAACTAATTCCTTACAATTATATTTAACGTTTATTTATTGGTGTGTTAAGAAAAATGTTTTTTCTTATAGTAAGTTTGATGATGTGAGTACACGTAAATATAATTGTTTGGCATAACTTGTACTTTTAACTGGATTTAACCGATGTTTATCTAGTTTTTGTACAGCCTTAATAATTCTTATAAAAAAAACAATTTTTGTTCTTAAAAAGTTTGTAAAATATTTTTATAAAAGGTCATTGTTATATAGTATAGTAAAATCAACTCTAATTATAACAAAAGTAATTAAAAATATTACATACCTTTGAATCAGTATTTTTTAAATGTTTTTGCTGCAACAACTGTTAAGAAATTATTGGTGTTTATTTTATTTTTTATACATTGGTGGCTTAGGTAGCATTTACTTATATAAATTTCATAAAGAGAACCTTTTTCTCGAAAATTCTGATTGTGAAGTGTTATATAGGCTTGCATATTAAATTATTTTATAAGGCATATCTTAAAATATAGCTAAAGAACCAGTTTTTCGTAAGCGAAAAAGCACTGCACATTATATATAAATTTTTATTTCCTTCAAAGTTAATAACAATCTTATTAAATTTAAGTGAGTGTTTTTTACTTTTATTATAGCCAGTTATACAGTGTAACGGTGATTGTGTCAATAATACTCTATTGCTTAGATGTCGTTTAAATTGCTACTTTAATAAGGAGTATAAAATTTGTACTGGGCTACTAAGATTTACTCAGGTGATAGCGAAATACTTCGTTCGGGTCGTAAATAGAATTGAAGGTCACAGCTGGTCCTTGCCCCAAAGCTCAGTAGATCCTATTATCTAAAAGAAATGCGATGTGCTAATTTACAAAGAGCTGTTTCCCTTAAATTTCGGTAAAAAGCTGTGAATAACAGTTTTGTGTAGTGGTCTTAACATCATTTCCATTTTAACGGACAATTTTTTTTATTTAATTTATGGTCGCATATGATCACATAACTATTAAGAATGATAAGTCCTAATCATAGTATAGGATTTCTTTAATATTTACACAGTGTGGCATGTAGGCATACCACGTAAAAAGCTTTTCATTTTGATGTTAATAACATTTGAAAGCTACTGCCAACTTTGAGATTCAGGCTGTTAATATTTAAGCAACCGTAAAACTTTCTTTTTATAGTATTAATAACTCGATAGAGGCTAACTCTAACTTCATGGCTAGCCTTTTTCCATCCACCTACTTAATAAGCAAGCCGTTCCGGCGTTATTCTTTCTAATATTGTCATACTTTAGTTACCAAAAAAAAATTACTTAGACCACTTAATCAAGTTCTCTTTACAATGGTATTAAGGCTCTCATCTTTTTAAGAAAATCAATTATTAATAATAATTAGTATATATATATAAATATATATAATTTTTTACAGATGAAGAGGGTTATTTATCATCTCGACAACTAGTACTGTTACTGTAAATGAAATCATTATTTTATGACCTTTTATTAACAATATTATTATATTTCTTAATACTATATACTCCTTTGAAGTAAAATATTAGCGGTCATTATATATAGCTGGCAAAAATATGCTTTAGGCTTCTGTATGTAGTATAATTATTCGGATCATAAAAAAACTGTTGGTATAACTATTTATTTTTGTGGGTGCTCAAATCAACCCCTCAAACCAGTTTGATAGTTGTTCAGGAATGGTAGCAGGCTAACTTTATAGCTTAATATAGTGTAGAATTGCGGTAGGTACAATCGTAAATATAACCAAAAAACCTAGTTCATATAAATTGTAAGTACCAATTTTAATAATTTAAGGGTAGAACCAAGGAACAGCGGCGTAAAAGAGAAGCAGCCTAACTTAGAGACGGTGTTTGCTTTTTTAAAAAAGTACAGGGCTTTTCTTAAAGTTTCAATGTATGCGACTACGGATCATTTTGAACTTTCCAGTTACGTTTATTCTCCGTGATATTGATATGTAAAAAGGTTTTTAATTATCTGCCAATTTTTAAACATGTCTTTTAGCGATAACAAAGCTGTACCTTTTGGAACGTTAGTGAATACGGCCATTTGGCGAACTAAAGTTCAATTTCATAATATAAATTATATATATTAAGTGCTAGCTATAAGGACTTTGAACTACAAGTAGAGGTTATTTTATTAGCCATAAAAACCGCTCCTCGGTGCAGCTGTTGAAGAAGAATAATAAATATAAATAAAAACTTGGAGGAGACCCGCGTTAAACTCTTTTGAATGACTTTTGTGACTCAATTGTAACAGTAAAAGTTCTTTCTTTTGAAAAGATGAAAAATATAAGCAGAACGCTAGTTATTATTTGTATATAAGTTTTAGCTATGCCACTACTTATCAAAAGGCTTTTTTTTACAGATTCAGGATGTTTGCAACATTAGACAATAAAAATCTGTTTCATAACACAATAGCTGCTGGTCGTTAAATGTTTTCTTTTTAAATTCAACGAGAAATTCAAAGATAACGTAATCCCTAACGTAAGTTATGCAACCTCTAAAAAATATTTAGATGGAAATAAAGACACTAATTTTCTATAATGTTATCTTACAAGCCCGTTTGGTACCATATAACATCTTGAGTGCTCCTTTACAAATGCAATATTAAGCTTATGCTTATTTACACTTTCAAATTCTGGTCATAGTATTCGTTAACAAGTGTTAAATTGCATCGTAGTTCTTACCAAATTGCTATTTACCTTACGGAAGATTTTATTAACGTTTCACTTTGCCTAAAACTTTAAGATTGTGATAACTTTTGCCCCGCAGCCTAATATAAGGGTGTCAAGTATTATATAGTAATAATATAATAAAAATTATAGGAGAGATCATATTCTTTTTTAATATATAGCAATGATAACTTAGATTATTTTTTTTAAAGTGTTATAGTTAGTAGTGTGCGTATTAATTAGGTTCTTAAATTTCCATTTTTTCCCTTAAAAAAAATTTCTTTCTTTTAGAACAAGTTACTACAATGCAAGAGCTTCAGAGCTTAATTATATGTATATATATACAAAATAAAAAGTTATTATAAACATTAAATTTTTTAGAAAGTAAGTTTTTTTTTAGATAAGCAAACTTATTAATAAGGAATGAATACAAACTTTAGTGCAATCGTCATATATGCTTGTAAAAAGTCTTTAAAATCATCTATATTTAATTATTAGCCGACTTTATATTTAATTTTCTAAGTTCATAAACATAACCCTCGGAAAGTTTTAAAAAGTTACCTTTAAGTTTTAGAAAGTGGAATCTCTTGATTGGGCAAATAGTTTTAGGGGGACATAGATACGACATTCCAACTTTCACTAAAAAAAAAAAATTTTTTTAAACTTTTCAGCATGAAGAGTATCGGCATTATCCAGATATATTGCACACTAAATTCCCTTAAAATAATGTTTTGCTGTTAATGAAACTACCTTTATATTAGTTTTTATGAACTAAATAAATTATTTACCAAGTATATATAGGCTTTTTTTTAATATCTATCAAGTAGAAAAAATGAAAAAGTGCTAAAATAAGAAATTAGATTCAGTAAACTTTAACTAATTTTCATAAAACCCTTTCAAGGCATTGTTAACTGTACACACATATTTATTATCTTAATCACTGTTGACAGCTGAGCTTTCCTGTAGGCTTGAAGCAATTAAGACTTTTTTGTAATTGCTAATAAGAGGGCAGGAAAAGAGTATGATATATGAAGCCGTTTTATCATTTCATCAAACGAGTTAAATAAGGGTAATAGCTTACAGATCCCTTAAAGAAAAATAAAAACCTTATAACTTTTAAAGCTAGCTTTATTTAATTTATAAGAACGCATACCCGAAAAAGAATTATTTTTAATCTCGAACAACCACTTCAAAAGCAAAAACTATCAATGATTTTTCTTCTAAGTAAACGGCGAGGCGGCTTCTGAGGATCCATATTTTCACCGTTTTCGTCTGACAAAGCCTCTAGTTCTTCACTGGAGGAACTTTGGCCGCACTTTGGAGAGATGGCTGCTGAGTGGCTGTCTGCAGGTGTCTTCCTTGGAGAGCTGTGAGGCCTCTCCTGTGGAGTGGAGGCCTGCCACCTCTGCACCGCCGTCGTCTTCGGAACTGCTGCAATATAGATTTTCTCCTCCGACTTCGCTCTGCAGTACAGTCTGTTTCCACGTAGCCTTTCGTGGGCATAGCGCCTCCAGTTCTTGGTCCCGACTTCTTTTGAAGTGCTCCTTATCAATTTTTTCCTTGAGCTGTTGGAGTTCCTCTTTCAGCTGGGGTTTAACGGTCCGCCTAACTTTGCCTATCAGGAGGCCAAAGTAATCGTAGACGTCGACATCATATACATGCGGGGCAAAGCACTTAAGCGCCATGGAAAATTATCAAGACGGGGAATGCAAAGTGTTTCGGATGTATTTTAAAGTACGTCATAAGACTCTAAAATCCTTTGACAACTCTTTTCTGAGATGGAGATTCGCGATAGACAAAAGGTCAAATGGCGAGCTGCAATAATAATAATTATTATTATAATAAAATAAGCTGCAAGGCTTGCATTGAAAAAGTTGCTCTTAAAAGAACCCTGAATCACGTTTTGGGCGGTCCGAAGGCGCTGGCACAGTTTTTCCACCAGCGCTTCTTTCTGTTATTACCGCCTTATAAGATCTACTGGTTATCTCTTATTGGCTACCAATAAGGTCACCTCGCGCTCCTTGAAAACATACGCCAATAGCTCCGTCATTATTTTTTCAAACTGAGCCATCCCTGCAATGAAGGCGCCGCCAGTCAGAGCAGAAGCGGAAAAGACGTTGATAGTGAGAATGCACGATACCGCAGTTCTCATGGGACAAATGGCTAACGATGTCCGGAAGATGATTGAAGATTTCCTTGTCCTTCACAACAAAAAATAAAGAAAATGCGAAGAAGGTTTATCCAAAAGAATGCCTTCAAGGAAAGCTCGTGAAAAAAATGTTTGGCCTGCTTGCGTATTCGTTGGTTGCTGTCAATCAGGCATTTAACCAGAGTAGTTATCTGCACGAATGAGTAAGACCGAGGCCCAACAAGCCGCCAATGATAAAGTACGTGTCCTTTCACTTTAATCATGTCGTTCAGTATCAGATGAGCAAGAATCCGGAAAAGGTCGCAGCGAACGCCGCCATCCGCCTCCTTGCAATAAAATAATATTAAACCGGGAGGGTGCAACCATGTGGCTTCTTTGCTCTCACAGTGGAGAGAACGAGATAGACGTCCGAAGTCCAAGGCTCAAGGACATTTGGAAACCGCACAATAAGGTCGCACAAGCCGAGCCCAATCGTCGAGCGCACGGAGGGCTGCCAGCCAGTGGCTGATTGTTAAAAACAGCAGAGATGGAAACGATTAGCCCTTACAAGACTGGACTCCCGGAGGACCGTAAAAAGTAGTTGCAGGTGTTTCTCGCATAAGTGGACACTGATGGCCATAAACTTGCATAGTGCCAGGAGACTGGGCGGCCCTGTTTCTTAGAAGTAAGCCGAGCCAATTATAAGGGCGAGTAAGCGCAACCAAGAATCGGATCTGAATGGCGCAAACGGCAGAGAGTCACCACCAAAGGCACAAATGAGGCCAGAAGACCGTTTCCTAGTGGTGGACACTTACGTAAGCCACGTGATTAAAGCCTATTTGGGACCGATGACGAGTTCAGTTTCAACAGCGCTGTCGAGTTGTTCCGAGTCGAATTCATTTACTTCCTCCTCGACTCCCATCTCCTTCTCGAGGTCGAAAGTTGCCTGCTTCAAAGCGGACGAGTCCTCGCTTAGCTGAGAGGGGAGTGTATAATAAAGTGCACTATACTTTGCTCTCTTTTTCTCGTTGCCGCTTTTTCTTTAAACGCTCGCCAATCTCTTCCATGTACACGAGCTGCTTCGTGGCAACATGGCCAACCAAAAATAACACCCGGCCAAGTAAATACTCGTGCTTTTCCATAAGGCCATTTATTGACTGGCTCTCCTTGGCCACCCTTTAGGAGGCGGGAAGCGACTCAGTTTGCGACAAAGCAAAGTGCGCAGCGCAGTACAAATTTTCTAGTGATTTGTAAAAAGTGACGAGTAAACTCGAGCAGAGAGCCGGTGGATCATTGGCCAATCGGTAGATAAGGTCCAAAACGGCAGCTGCAGCGCCATACCTGCAAAAAGCAGAACGCTAAGCATGTGTGGCAGTTTGGACAAGTGAGTGGACCATGTATACTGTGTAAGCTGGATTTCCTCCTCGGAGTTGGGCATGTGGGCGAGGAAGTCCAATAACGCGCAAAAGAACGGATCCTCGTTGCTAAGCACGTGATGCGTTTTATGGAGGCTCTACATATCCGTTAAGGGCAGACCCACGTGGACAGTAGAGTCTAACCTTCATAGCCAGAGCAGAGTAGAGAACGAGAAGGGGAGCTTTCCGCCCGCGATCACCAAAGATGCTGTCCAAAATATACGGAAGGTTCTTGTTCAAGTGGTTTGCCATTAACCCTCCAATGACTATTAGCTCCACTAGCTATCCACGTGGTAATAGCATACCGGAGACACACGCGAGGATGCGGATTGCCTGGAGGCTTTGTGCTTCGCTAGTATTGGGCACGCGGAGGGCAAAAGTGTCCCAAAGGACCTTGACCATAGGATCGGTGATGCAACCTGATGCAGAAGGAGAGCACGTGCCAAAAGTTATTACGAGCACATAAACATTATGGAAATGCTTCACCGTTCTTGCAAAGCAAACGAAGCAGCTTCTGAGCAGAATAGAAAACAACGTCGTCGCACGTGCTCATGACATGCAAAAGGTTCTTGACCACGAGACTAATGTAGGACTCGTGGTTGGCAGGATCGCAAGGCCGGAAAAAAAAAGCTTCAAAAGCATCGCACACGTGCTTTTGGAGGTTTTTGCGCCAAATCAGACTAAGAATACGACACGTAGTGTCCGTCGGTCTGGCAGGGACCGAGGAAACTATTTCTTCAATATGGAACTGATGACAGCACACAAAGAAGGCCAGCTAAAGAGATGCCGATGAGGATTAGTCAAGAAGGTGCCAGGCGAATCCAATAGCAGCAGACTACCGCCTCCACCACATCCGAGTCCGAACCGGAATCGAGTAACACGTGGATTTCGCGGGCAATGCGGTGGATCTCGTTGATAAAGCGTGCACCGTCCTCGTAATACAGAAGCTTCAACTGGACAGCCTGAAGCTCCTTAACAATAACAATATTAGAGGTGGACAAAAAAAGACGGTAAGGAGGAGGAAGAGAAGGCACCAGGTCGACGGAAGCTGAGCCCTGAGTGCCTGTTACAACGTGGGTTTCCATAGACTCGAGAGCCTTCTTCTCGCGGGCTAGACCTTCCTCGAAGCGGGAAAGCTGGGAATACAGCAAACACTAAGACGAACTGGTGACAGCATGGATAACGCGAAGATGACGCCGACCACGAGGGATCCGCCGAAGGGGTTGTGTTCGATAAACGAGGAGATGCAATTAATGGCCTGAGCCCTCACCTTAGCAGTGGGTGAGGGTTTCATACAGCCGACGAGGGCAAGACAAGAAAAGGCGCACCGATTTCTTCACGTCAAAGGCTTTCTCGCTCACAGCTACCAGCACATGGTGCATGTAGTTTTTCGGGATGCATTTCTGCAGTATAGTGATGTGATATAAACGCAAACTTAAGAAAAAGTTCGACCTGCGAAATAACATATTTAAGCGTGCTGATGACTTTTTTTCTTACTGGTGCATTAACATCATTAAGGCGCTCCAATATAAGAGAAAATAATTCATCGCGCGTTTTAAGAACTAATAAAAAAAAATAGCAGTAAATAAAAATAGCGGGAGCGTGTCAAAACCAGTTTCGTTCTCGGTTTCCTTGAAAAAGTCTTTAGAAAGCAGAAGGCCAAAAATACCCACGAGGTGCGACCGAACCAGGACTTGCTGCACGTGGAAACAAAGCATAAATCGCAGGAAGCTCGCCATAGAAGTAGACGAACTGAGTTATCCAAAAATGGGAACAGAGTTGAGAGCGAATGGTAGACGGAGTCCGCTGCGTGGTCCACCATGTGCGTTACAAAAAGCCAAGTGTTTTTAAACCCCAATGAGTCCACAGCCGCATCCTGAGGGGCCCCGTGAAGCAGTTCTCTTATGGAAGAAAACACGTGTGGAAGTCCGTATAAACCTGAAACGGTTGATAAGAGCACCTAATTATGTCCGGAATGGGATCGTGGCTGCTAGCACGCTTGATCTCAGCTATTAAGTAGAATGCATTTGAAAAACTTGGAGCGTAAGTTTGTTTAACTGTCTTTACCTAAAGCCTCTGCAAGAAATTCCGGAAGATGATCAAAATTCTTAGGAATTAAATTACAGCAGAAACTAATCACGTCTATATAAAAAGTAATTTAGCTGTGAGCACTGGAAGGATGGCCAGTAAAATCTAGCCAGATGCAGTGTAGATGAACAAAGTAACGTGCGCGAGATTACGAAGAGAGTAATAATTATAAAAACTGTTAAACTTTTGAAAGATTGCAATAAAATAATTTAAAAGAATAAAATTCTTAAAATTACGGCGGCGGGCTTAAAAAAAAAAAATTTAATTTCGTTAATTAAAAAAATTACCAATCAGACGACTGCAATTTTTGACAATAGACTTAATAATAGACAAAACAAAAGGCTTATCTTTGGAAGTAGCCTTAACGTGGGCTGGATTTTCAATTAATTTAAAAATCATCTGCGAGACGTAACTTTATAGCATCAGACTTTTATGTAAATCCAAAATGTGTAAGTTAAAATAATTTCTAAACCTCCCGAGTTCTTCATCGACGCAGCCCGCTTCGAAAAGAGATTGAATTCTTTAAATATTTGTTAGATGAAATAAAAAAGTTTTGAATTTATTGAAATACGGCAAAAGCAAAATTTTAGAAAAAATTTTTATTAAATCGCTTATTGCTAAGGATGCGTGTTGAGTTTCCGGCCCTTTGCTAACTCGCTAATAATATTATAAGTGAATTAATAAATAATTTTTTATGAAATCGAATAGTAACTTTTTAAAAAAGAGAAATTCATTTATATACAAAACAATACTAACGGCACTAACGAGAAAAATTTCGATCTCCATTAGGATCCACGTCGTAAAAAAAACGCAAATTTTCAAAAGTTTTTTACTTGCATAGTATAAAAAAAGTTTAAATGTTGAAGTAATAAATTTAAATAGTCCAATCACCAATGAAATTTGGAAACTTTAGGAAACTCTCGGGAAAACTCATATTTTAATAACTTTTTAAAGTCTTTAACTAAATCCAAAAAATGCAAACTTATTTGCAACTTATCCTTATCGTTGTAACTCTGAAAAGAGCTATAGAAAAAACATAATTCAAAGTAAAATAAATAAACCAGCCTAAAATTCATCAATACTTTATAGCATTAAAAAGCAAGGAAAAGTTTTGAGGATCTTCAACACAGCTGAAAGTTTTTAATTTCTTAATTTCTTATAAAATATACAATTATCACAACTTTAAAGCACACAATAATAGTTTTTTTTAATAGCTTTTATTATTAATAAAAATCTTAAAAATTATACCTTTCGGAGTTACTTGCGAAAGCTGGACATAATAATAATTATCTGTTTCGTGAAGGAGATCTTCTCTGCTCGTTGGGAAAAAAAAATCGCAGTCCATTCAGAAAACGCACAGCAAACAAAACTTAGTTTTCTATTAGCTCTATATAAATTTCTAGTTAGCTGGTGCGTTTAAGTTTTCTTTTTTATGGTTCTCGTAACCGAACGATGTCCACTTGATACCTTCTCCCAACTACCATTTGACCCCAAAGTACGGGTACTTACCAATTTTCGTACTAACAATTTTTCTCTGTAAATTTTGGTTTAAATATATCATGAGACCTAACTTCCGAAAGAAAAAAATTACGTTTGCTTTAAAAGATTATGTTTTATAAAAAAAGTTAAAGTTGTAAACTTATTTCTAGGTAATTTTATGGTAGTCAGAGATGGCATATACTATACTTAAATTTTTCACTAAATGGCATATCGTTTTTATGCAAAGTAAAAAAAAATTGAGGCAAAATACTTAACCTACTTAAAAATTGGTTAAAAACTGAGTGTATATTACACTAGTCGAATGATACTATTATAGAACACGGCACTTTATATATAATAGTTCCTTAACTTTGATTAGAATTAAAAACCTTAAACTTTACTTCAATAATACTTTAATGGTCAACGCTTAATGCTCGAACTTGTATTCTAAAAGTGTTCTTAGTAGAAGTTACAAAATTTAGGGGCGATAAAGTTCGAACTGTTTAATAATTATTATGACGTTTTTATTATGAGAAAACACTAATGCAGGTGTTTCGAATATGAAGTCCGCCTTATTTCATATAATTTTTATAAATTTTTTTTTACGAAACAGTCCTATGATAAAACTAAATATAAACTTATATGACTCCTACTATTTTCTTCAAGTTTGCAATAACTTAATAGCAAGTTATTTTCTCTAAATAATTCAAACCTTTTTACAAAAAATGTTCACGTAAAAATAAGGAATTACGTTTAAAAAAAAGCTTCTAGCCTTAAAATGTGCAGTTAATATAATATAGGGTTATCATAAAATTAATGCACGGTAATCTCATTTAATAAGTTTAAAAGCTCCTGCGAGGCACGACGTCCGTCATTACAAAAGTGTAAATTAAAACTACCGTGCGCAAACCATTCCGTCTAATAGCGCTTTGCCTTTGCACGGTACGAATTTGTATACCTTTATAAAGGCAAACTGTAGTCCTAAAAAAAATAACGTCAGACACACATGGAAAATCAGGGGTTTCAGACCTCATTGGCATAGTTGTTTTAATAAAGAAGCACATCTGCCATTTCATTTTATTAAAGCTAGGCGAAGGTAAGTGTACAGCAAAACTTTGGACACGGTTATTCACAGACGAACTCAACAGATACAGCTGCAGCTTCCCTATCTCCTGACCCATCTTACCCTTTAATGTCCGTTGTATTAGAATACGCTTGATAGTTTAAAGGTCGCACTGATGGTTGCCCTTGCTTGCGTATTACTCCGGTCGTCTCCATTGGATTATTTAACTTATTTGTTAACAACGCCTATTATACGCCTGGCCGCTTTTCACAAAAGTCTTCTGGAGACGGAGTAATGGTGGGTCTGTAGCAACTGAAGGACAACAATTTTTTCGAAACTTTACTAAACGTATAAAAAACCGCAACCGCACACTATCTCCGTCACTTAATTACGATGTAATAATGGCTGATAGTGACGAAAATAAGGCGACGCTCTTTGCAGATCATCTTGAAGCTCAGTATGTTTCCTTCAGTTTGGTTGAAGGAAGACCTCAAGCGCCCTCAATAGTTAACAACCGATCCATTAAACCCAGCCCAGCTGGTAAAATCGCTCTTAAAAGCTCCATACTCTCGCAACGAAAGCAGCTAACCCCGAAGGATGCTTAATGAATTGTTAAAAGAAATTTGCAGTCTGTGGAGGCAATGCCTCTTGGCTTCTTCCCAACGCGTTAGAAAACAGTCATTGGCGTGATGCTACCCAAAATACCGGTGTCTCATCTAACCCTAGCAAATGCTGCAATCCATGCGCTTTATCTGCTACTGAGAGAAGGGGGAAAAAAATGTCTCTACACAGTTTACTCTTGCTTTATCAGGCATGCATGCTCTTTATAATGACCCAGGCAACTGTTGCTAAAACGTATGAAAAACTTTCGTCAGTTTGCGCTCTTGCGGACGCAGCAAAACAAGATTCTGCGGCTAATGACCGGCACATTTTATTTCGAAAAGCAACTACTGTCTATTGTGCACGTGTGTAAGGGCTCAAACCACCAGCGAGCGTAAGAACATAAAATGCCAACCCTAAACTGCGCATCCTTTTGACGGCCCCGTGAAACCCTTTGAACGCACGCATAATTTGCAAGTAACTAAAGTTTTAGATGTAATTTCTTGATCGAAAGTGAAAAATGAGTGTTGTCGGGCAATCTCAAGGTTTTGGGTTCAACTGCCAACTCGCCTTTTTCTGGTTTGGTGGTTACGTGTACAACTTCCCCATAAACACTAAACTCTATTAGCCTACAACATTCATATCTGTATGTATAAAATGATGAGATAATTAGAGGAAACTAAAAATAAACTTCCCCAAAAATCTGGGTCAAACTAGGCAGTTGGCTCTCCATTCCATAGAGAAACTGCTTAAATTAATAATAACAAAAAAAGTGATGTAAGTAAAGGTAAACTATACTTTATTTTGACAGCACACTCAAAGGCAAAAATGTGCTAGCGTACAAGTTCCAAAAATATTAAATATCTTGCCGGATAATAATCGCAGAAACTTGTGGCACTTTGTTTTTGATAGAATTTACCTATAAATTTCTAACAAAAGTTTCACTTTAAAAGATGCTTTTTAGTGTGCTTGCGAGCACTTACCGGTATGGACATAAACCCAGTATTAAAATGGCATTGTATATAAAAATAAAACGATTAAGTTTGTGAGGGTATGAATTACAAATTGTTTTCACAAATTTTTATATTGATTTAAGATAGGAGCCTACTTTTCTCTAGCAGAGTAGTTTAAAATAAAATATGATTACATAATTTATATTTTATGATAAATGTGACAGAGGAAGTAGCTAGTATACATATAGAAAAATGTTAAAGTGAAGCTAATTACTTTTAATCTCTGATTTAATTCCACTAATTCTCAATTATTATTGTTCGAATTTAAGTTATTTGTTGTACGAAATCGGATTGATAAACTTTTGGTGTTTCTCTCGATTTAAATAGTTATATTTCAATAATAAGCGGAAAAAGTCGTGTACTTACGATTAAACAGTTTAATGAGGAAGACATATAAACTTTACATTTTAAATCCTTAAAAGCCATGGATGGTACACTTTTTATGTAAATTTACGACAGTAGGAAGGAGAAAAAAAGATTATATGCGCTGCTGCGCAGTATAAGGGTACCTTTTTGATTTAACTTTATATAAATAAATACTTTAAAATTGGCATGAAGAGATTTATTAAGGATATACTTTAAAAGACTATGTTTACAATTTATTCTGAGGGTTGTGAGAAGGAACTGGTATAAATATCCTTATCAAAGGGTATTTAAACATTTTTCTTTGAAAGTACCCGCTTAAAGTAATATACTGGCTTAAGCTAACATACGCACTTTTTAAACTCTAAGTAACTTTGTAGGAATCTAATAATTTCCTAAACCATTTAAAAATATTGTTCCTAGGAATATATTATAAAGGGCCTGAGAATGGTCCACTTAGCTCAAAAGAAATAGTCAGTTAATAAAAAGATTATAACAATGTGACTATAAGTTGATAATCTTTTAATGTTTATAAACCCACTAATATAAAAATTATAAAATTTTATAAAAATATATATATTCTTCCTTTTAAGTATGTAACCGTACGATTGTTACAACGAATGAAGAAGGCCTGCCTTAGTTTGGGAGCTAAAACCTGGCTGGCAGCGATGCTAGCCGGTGTATTGAAGAATTTAGTAGCAAAAGGTGGTCGTTGCTTGGAGGTTTTTTCTCTGGTGTTGGCCACGTGGTTCTAACTTAGCATCCCGTGAATATAAACAGAGATAAGCACACCCCATGGAGATGAGTTAGTTTTTTGCTGTATCTCGCGTGGAGCGTGCTGTGGTGTAATGGAGCAGCTTGGTTACGTTGGTCGTGTATATATATTGTCCAGTAACTATTTATACATTTTATTCCTTGGGTATACATATATTTACGCTTAAAGTAACCCACTAGCCAAGTGGCGGAAGTCCGAGTGCGATATTTTCTCCGCTATTTCAAAGTCGTTCGGGTAAGGGAGGAATACGCATTCAGCAAGATGTAACGTTTTTTGAAGGGCATAGTATAGTATGGTAGAGCTAAAAAAACTAGTAAATAGTTTTTATTTTTCGCTATTCATTTGCAAAAATTAGTCTATTTTCTACAAGCTTAAGTACCAAGGTTTTTACTTGTTACCGACCAGCTTTTTTTTGGCCCTCAACAGTTCCCTCTTAATTTTTCCTTGAAAAAACTTTCATTTTTACTTATAGGGCGCCGTTTCTATGAATTATTTACTGTATCACACTAATAGCACATATGAAAGAGCTATAGATAACATTACGGGAGTACCAAGCATAATGATAATAGTTCTTTATGTCTTATTTTATCAGGTTTACTGCCATAATATGCTAAAAATATATATTCAACATACCTACGTAATTTTAACTAATATTTTAATCCTGAATTCTGCAATGCGCGAAAATTGATATAAACTAATACTATATTCTTTGTCACTACAAACTATGATGTTAAATATTGCAGGTTATCAACGTATTTATTAACAAAGTACACAAATTCCACCGCTTTATCGCCTAGATTTAAAATTAAGTTATGCATTAAAAGAATAGTTTATTAATCTCTATGTCATAAAACATTTTTATAAAAATATACTCTTTGCTTTTTCACTTCGTTTGTAATACTGAAGTTATCAGAATAAACACACTTTCCGATTTATAAATAAGGCTAAAGGTTCCTCGATATATTTCAGATTATGCATCTAAAATGAACAAAATTAGCCAAGTACTTATATTTTACTATACAAAATTTATAATCTAAATTACGTGAAGGATTTTTTATTATAATTTTTAAAAAAATTTTTGAAAAAGGGTACAAATTTATAACTTTTGTAGAAGTTACTAAACCACGAGGCTAAATTTTACTTGCAAATACATACTAAAGATTTTATTTTATTATAGAGCAAAAGACCCAAAGTAATATAATTTTATAGTAACTAAAAAATCCGGCCTAAAAATCGGCATCTAAAACAAATGAATTTTCCTCGGAAGGGGTTGTAACGCCTGCTTTTTTATACTCGCCTACTCGCCTCTCAAAAAAATTGCTTTTCCCTTCCAAAGAGATCAGTTCCATAAAATCAAAGGGATTTTCAGCCTTGTAATACTTGTCAAGCCCCAGCGCATATAAGAGTCTATCAGCAACAAATTCTATATATTGCCGCATTAAACTACAATTCATTCCAATTAAATCCGCTGGAAGGGCATCCGTAAGAAATTCTTGTTCAAGTTTAACTGCTTCAGTTATGATTGCAATGATGGCCTCGCTGACCGGTTTGTTTCGCAAATATCCAAACAAAAGACAAGCAAAATCGCAGTGAAGACCTTCATCTCTACTGATTAGCTCATTAGAAAAAGTAAGGCCGGGCATGAGCCCACGTTTTTTCAACCAAAATATCGCAGCAAATGAACCAGAAAAAAAAATCCCTGCAAAAAAAATTAATATAGATAAAAGGTTTAAGGCCTTGATTATTAGAATCAGAACCTTCAACAGCCGCAAAAGCAACTAATCTTTCACCAAAGGAAGAGTTTTTATTAATCCAGCGGAGCGCCCAAAGTGACTTTTTTTTTACGGCAGGTAAGTTTTCAATGGCATTAAACAAAAATAATTTTTCATCAGGATCTTTGATGTAAGTATCAATAAGAAGGGAGTACATCTCAGAATGAATGTTTTCTATTGCTATTTGAAAGCCATAAAAACAGCGAGCTTCAGGTATTTGCACTTCTGTAGAAAAGTTTTCCAATAAGTTTTCATTAACTATACCATCACTGGCAGCAAAAAAGGCTACATTTATTAAAAAAATTAGTAGCAAACAATAATAAAAAATAATGATAAATTTAAACCTAAAACATGGGATATAAAATGTTTTTCTTTAGAATTTAAAGAATCCCAGTGCGCTAGATCTTTGGATAAATCAACTTCTTCAGTTGTCCAAAAAGAAGCTTCAGCTTTCTTGTACATTTCCCAAATCTATGTTTACCTCAACGATATAGAATATTCCATTAGTTCTCTTAAATCAATAGAAAAATTACACGGCGAACTTGCCTCGGGATATTGTATGGGAAACAAGACAAAGCGTTTAGGATTTGGCGTAAGAAGAGGTTCAGTTTTCCATTGATTGTTCATTAAGGAAGAATTTACTGCTAATGATGCACTCAGTTGAAAAGAGCTTTGTAAAAAAGTTTCATCAAAGTCTTCGGTTTCTTTAGAGCCGAGCATAATCTTATAAAAGAATTAAGTCACAAACTATTAAAGCTAAAGAGTGATAGCCCAGGGTTTTCGAATAACGGATGGATCTGATATACTCTAAACCAAGTAATAAGTAACCTTTGGCGTACGTGACATGCTGGTTTTTTAATACAATCGTGAAAAGTAGAAAAATAAAATATTTAGTACCGTTTATCTTGAGATGAATGTATTAAATAACTTAAGCTCGTTTAATCAATTAACGTCTTAGTAAAGTTATATGTTTACGAAAATTTTTCTATCGTACCATAATATATTTTGAATAAAGTATATTTTATTTATTAATATCAATGTATTTATATGCCAGTTAAAATAATAAAAACGACTGGTCATTAACTATTTTAAATAAACTTTCTATTCAAGCATTATAATTTCATGAATAAACTACTTATAATTTTACCCTATACTTTACTGTCCGTAACTATAGACCTTATTTGCGTTAACTTTTAATGCGTAGATTATTATTTTTTTTAAAGTTTGTCATACACGATATTTAAGGACTAATTAAAAATTTATGGTGTGTTCAATTTAGCGAATTTTTTAATTTTTACAGTGGCAATATTGAGAGTACTTTTCTTTTCATTTTAATAAAATAAAAGCAGAGTTTAGTTTATAATTATTGGCCCTCTGTATGCTTTTCAAAACACACTTTTTCTTAAATTTTGAACTTCGATATATTCATAAAAATTAGTTACTAGTATAAAACTAATTGTTCTATTAAATATTGCAAGGTTTACAAAAGTAATGATTAAATAAATTGCCTTTAATATAAATCACTGATGTAAACCTTCTACAAGCTGACATTATACTCCACCCGCTTAGCGGTGGCTAATAAATTAAAGCTATGTTGCAGTTAACAGCTCGCCAAGGCACGAGGGGCTCCTACGCAAACTACGCGCATTAGGTCCTCTGTTACCCTTTACAACATACCCGCATTCGTTCCTATGCGAACGCACCTTCGAATTAGAATAGGCACTGCCTTTGTGTTCATATCGTTGATTAACAGCTGGCGTTCCGCAAGGCTGTCTGGTCTTACACCTGCTCCTCCCGTCGTCCTTGCGATTCCTCGCTCCTGCTTCGCACTCAACGCCGATGATACTGCGGTTTATCCATTCTCAAAAAGCCTCTCACTCTTATGGCAAAATCTACAACGTTACTTGGAAAAATTTTGCCAATCAGTGCCGGTAGTGGGGAGTAGTCATAAACTAAAAGAAGAGCAAAGCAATTCTCATCTCAAACGATGCAGTACGCCACCCCTCGCCTTTAATCCTGTATGGTGTTAATACCCCATGGTGTTCTCAGGCCAAGTACTTAGGCCTCATCATCAATAAGCGGTTAACTTGGCTCCAATAAGTAGAATTCTTTGCGGTTAAAGCAAAGCGGTAAATCACTCTCCTACCCCCTGTTGTGTGCAGAAATGCACCTACGCAATATTCTGAGTTCTATGAAGGTGCGTCCGCCCCATACTGCCTACCCATCAGTTGCATAACCTTAAAAATAAAACTCCTGCGACTAATATCTGGTGCATGCATATTAGTCCGTGCACAATGACACGTTGAACGATGACTTTAAAATGCAGCTACTGTTTTATTTGAACGTATTAGTAGATATTCAAACCACATTAGCCTCGAGAACTTAAATAAGAACTTTGAAAAGGCGCACGCATCCGACGGTCTCACGACGACCTTTAAGTGCACAGTTATTGTTAGTAACCTCTACACACCTATTTGTGCGCGTATATATAAAAGATGAGCGGAAAATGAATGGGAAGTACGCTATATAATTTAGGTTATTAGAAAAACTAAGCAGTCTGCGCTCGATTCTGTCGAGCTTCTGCGCAAACTTTAAATAATTAAAAATTAACAACTTTTTTAAATTTTCATATAATTAAGCGCCTTAGTACCACATTTTTATTTGGTAGTCTTAAACAGCTCCGAACTGTTAAAAATTGTCCCATGATTTTTTTTTTCTTGCCCACCTAAAATTAGATACTTCCCTACGAGCTTAGTGCTTTGGTTGTGGTTTGTCTTGATCTACTTCTGGTTTTTACTTACTCTTTTATTTTGACATAGAAGCCCTATAAACCATTAAATTTTAATGAAGTAGTTTTAAAAGATCTTACGATCATTTGTAAATTGAGTTTGGTAACCCGTTATATGCCTAAAGTAGTTAGTAGCCGCCAAAAAAATTATTCAGAAATGAGACTGCGGCTACAAAAATCTATTATTTTTACAATTTAGATAAAATCAATGTAAAAGATCCCGTAAGTTCAAAATTAGCTTATAACTGATTGAATTTCTCTAGTAGAGTTAAGGTCATTTTATAAATTATTTTTAATTGGGTAATATTGAACTAGGCTACGTTTAAAGGTAAAACTATATGGCTTTTAAAATAGTTTTGCATTAAGGATAGCTTGTTACAATCTTTGAGAGATTTGTAGCCTTAACAGTTTTTAATGTCGAGAATACATTGCTGTTTAAAAAAGCCTGAAAATAAATTTTGTCTATCGTTTTATATTGATGTTATATAGAGTTAAAAAGATGATTTATGCGGTTTTAAATAAGCGATTCGTCGGACTCTTACAGAATTAGTATAATTCTCATCATATTATAGAATTAAAATTTTATAGTTTGTTTGATTACAGAAATTTTATAAAAACAGGTAAATTAAAAAAATGGTCAGTACTTTTTTTGAAATCATTAGGTAATCTACTACAGCAGAAATAATTAATAAAAAACCATTTAATAGTTTAGTAAATAAACTTTAAATTTTATATTTAAAACTTGTAAATCGCTTGAGTAGCCTAACTGTTTTAATAAATAATGATTGGAGTGTTATTAGTATCCCTCCAGATTCTAATTTTGTTTTTGTTTAGTTTAGTTTTAGTCGTCGGTTTTGGTGTGAGTTTCAATTGATTATTAATTCCTGAAGACAAACGAATAGCTACAACGAAAAGAAGCGCCAACTAAGAGAAAATTTAAATAAATCTTTTAGGTGTATATGTATATATATATGGTCTGCTTCTGCAATAATCATACATTTTTTAGATTAAACGCTTAATTTAATTACCATTTGCAATCTTCCAATATGAAAAGGGCAGCATAGTAATTACAATTTAAGCCTTTAAGATTGGTTACCGAGGAATCCCTAAAGTACTAACAAGTACATTTAAAAAAGAAAGATTACTGTTGTTTAATTATACAATATTAATCCAGCAGTGACAAGTAACTAGGTTAAATGTACGAACTAAAAACTGGTTTTAAATATTGCTACTACCAACTCATTACTTCCTACAGTATTAGTTATGTTAAATAATTTAATGTTAATAACTTTTTAATTGGTAATAGTGACTAACTAGGTTTCGCATAAATTGAGGTAAATTCTTATTGTCGACTATTATCTTTATGCTTCAGGCTTTCCTCTACCCTAAAAATAATAAAAACTTAAATTGCGTATACGAACGACAGTAGCATGCGTTATTTCATAAATCGCAAGTAAGTTCGTTTGTTAGCAGTCAATCTTAAATACCTTTGATTAGTCAACTTGCCCAAGCCTTGAGAAACGTTGTCCCCTAAGAAAAGTGCTTACTCAGTCTCACTTTAGCGAGAAGAAGCTCTTGATGAACAAATTATAGACCCAGAGAGCAGACGTGTATGTCAAGGTTAGTTGGACACACGATAGAGCACTCTTGGCATACTACAAATAATACAACTCTTGAAGCACCGCAGGGCCTTCTCCTCTAAATCGAAGTTTATGTGCGCCCGCCATATCACTTTGTCGATGACGGCCAGTAACCATTTTGTCTTGGAACATTGCGGAATAACTACGTCGTTGAAAGCCAGCTTAATGACAGAAAGCTTCCTCAAGCTTCCTCACTGCTTTAGTTCTCTCTGCGTAAGTAGTAATTCTTTATTGAAAACTTCAGCCGGTAAGGACAGGCAGATGGTAAGGTAGATAATAATTTTTCGGGTTGGGATACGAGGATAAGAGGAGGCATTAAAGCAGAACTCTAGCTTTAAGATATGACTGTAGGTGTGGAAGTGTTCAATAAAGGGTTTTTTTAATCTTCTTTTGTTTCAAAGTTCCTTTTATGATTTTAGGCTCCTTTAATAGTACACACGCCCTATAGACGTTAAGTTCCCAATAAACTATCCTGTAGATAGTTACTGACAACACTTTGTTCGACCCTATAGTCCAAAACAATATACTAAATTTACTCTAGATAATAAAGCTAAACTTCTTCACAGTCCTTTGATTGAAAAGATGCCCCAAACGAAAGTTCGATTGTTGTTTTTGTTGAATTAAAATGAATGTATATACACAACTTAAAAATTGATATGTTAAATCTACCAGTTAAAATAAATATAAATGCAAAGAACGGTACTCTCAGTTATGTGGAATGTACCCTTTTTTTTAACTGCGCACTGTAATTGGATCATTAATCAACATTTTTTATATATTTATCCCTTTCTCTAGTCGCCGAAGGGCTTTTAGAGATAAAAATAAGGTTAGAAGCAGAGTTGATTTCATTATAACATGACAAATTAATTAAATTTAAATACTAATTTTTCCTTATATGTTGGTGTTGGTAGTATGACCCACTGCGCGTATTTCATACAATTAATCTGTAGCGCGTTATTTAAATAATAATAAAAAGAGAATAAATCAACTTTATATACAGAGAGTTGCCTCGCGCTACACCCAAGATATTAAACTGTCGAGTGAGTGCGTTGCACACCTGGTTAACAAATTTTAAAAACCCCTTCAGATAAATATTTCTCGTGTCTATGGCCAACCCTAAATGAGGTTTTGAGAACAACGCTGGAGATAGCTCCCCTGCCCTTCCTCTGAGGCAAATATTGATTTTTATTGCATAGAAAAGGGTTATTTATATAAATATAAGTTAACTTTGGAGGAATTTGCAAGAAAAATTAAGTTTTATAAGCTATTATGACATTAGCTATTTTTTCTTTTTTTTTATGTACTTACAAAGGACTTCCACCTGGACAGCAAAACAATATCTATCTTTTATGCTTAATTCTATCTGATGCTAGAGGAATCCGCAGCGTTGTTAACTATTCGAGAAATTTTTGAAATATTTTATAATGTTTTAAGGTGCTAAACGGGAGTTGATAATTTCCTTCCATTGACTGACCTTTTGTCTTCCGCGACTAGATTTTGGGCAGTGAAAAGTTTAAAGATTCTAACGCCTAACTTTTTTCAACTTTTTGGAGTTCTTAAAGGTCTTTCCTTACTTTACTTGAAATAATTTTGTCCTTTTATAATAGTTATACAAACAACAAAATGTCATTCTTAATAAAAGACCTCTTTCCCCCTAGCAACTGCGAAGTTGTGTGCGTTATTTAAAATATACTTATTAATAAATAACTTAAGTTTTATATTAAAATGATAAGAAAAGTTGCACTTCAAACCTCTTCTGCTTCTATAAATTCTTACACCAGTGAGTATGACCACTTGGAGGCAACACTTAAAGAATTGGAGGAAGCACACCTTAACAAAAATTTGTCAAAATTCTGTTTTCTTTTGCAAACGGGTAAACTTTACAGTAATTGAGTAGAATCTAATTTCTTTAGAGTTTTAATTTTTTTGGGAGAATTCCTCGACTTGCTCAGAAGTATGGGAAATTCAAATTTGAATTGCGCTAAAAACAATTTTTTGAAGTACACTGATAAAGTTTCCATTCTACTACGAGAGCTTAGTTATAGCAATTCTTGCCCCCGAGATCTATTAATAAGTCCGTTTACCTCCAGTATTATTCAGGAAGATACTCGCGACGTTATATTTGAACAGATTTTTACGAAAATATTCGGCTGCGTTGTGGTCGAAGCGCTTTGCTGCTAAGTGGTGGAGGCCTTTGGGGTTAGTGACGGGTTGCAGTTAATTTAATAAGGCCAATTGCAACTTTAAGAATATTTTCATCGGCTCCAAAATTTTTATCGTTTTTTCAGGAATTTTTCATGTAGGCGTAGTTAAAGTTTTGTTTTTTAAGCGCCTACTTCCAAAAGTGATTTCCGGGTAGATTATATTTCTTTATCAACTTATATTACCTCCCAAATACTTTTTCCTGCCTTTAGCTCTTCGGCCGGCGCAATTGTTGCGGCCATAATTTGTACAAAGACGCACAAAGCCTTGAAAAAGTTCTTAAAACAAAACGCCTTCGAATTTAGAGTTTTTGAAAAGGTGCATCTTCAAAACACTTAGTAAATATGTTATTTGTAATAATCTTAGTAGAAAGTCCATAAAAACTTCTACTTTGAAAAGCTAAAGCGGTTGATTCAGGAGGGAGGTTTCCTTATTTAAATACACAAAAAAAATTTATTTAAAGAATTTGTGTTACTTTAACTTATTTAAATACAGCTTTAGCCGATCAGGAAGATTTGAGGGCCGCAGTTCGTTATTACACCGAAGATTTAACTTTTTTGGTTTGATACTTTATTATAGTTACCAATTCAATATTAGTAGTACGCTTAGGAAGCGCATTACCTAACTGGGCGCATCCTCAACATTAGGTAGTAATAATTGTTAATTATTAAACCCGTTACACACCTGGACCCACACGGCTTTCTTCTTGTAGCGTTACTTGCGCAGGGAAGCACGGACGAGCCAGACTTTTAAATCACTTGACCGCCCCCAATATTGCACGTGCTTTTGGCGGAGGTGCTGCTGTTCGCTGTTTGAGTATTTGCTTCTCTAGGTCATATGGAGTGCCGTCTGCGCCTCATGCGCACTTCCTGCTTTTTATAGGCCTGTCAGGTCGTAATCTGTCTGCTACCCCTTTCCTTTATTTAATGCTTTCATGCAGACTGCACAAAAAGATCAATGGGGGCCGGGTGGTTCCCTGTCCCTTTGCTGGTACGAAAGGGGGGGGGGTGTTTCCTAGGGGGATACGCCATTTTTATTGATTGATTGCGGGCTCGTGCAGAGTACTGGAGTGACGGGTCTTTAGAATGTGACATACCTTCCACACGGCTTTCGGGTGTCTTTCCCACTGGGCCTGCATAACTTTTAAAGCGATAACATTGTCTATTCCCTGAACAGAACTGTTTAACATTGATCATTTCATAGTTTCTCAAGTAAATCCCCACATCGTTCCCTTCGTGCATCCTTCCAGCCCCTTTCAAAAGGTTGTATTTCGTTAAAATGTAGTGGTGCTGGAAGATATTTATTGGTTTTGCGTCCTAAGTAGCTTAAGCTTGCTTTCCCTTCTGCTCTGGATGTTACCCTGCTAGAGTTGAAAAGAAGGCTTATTCAGGTGTTCTACTGATAGTAAGCGTCTCGAGTATGTAGTAAAACTTTTTTGCGATTGCAGTTGAAGGCCTTCGCCTTTGGAAATTTCATAGCTTCCTTGCTATTAATATTGGATCAACCTTACACCGGCAACACTACTATCGTCCCCACCGTCGGTTATTACTAAAGGAACTGGCTAACAAAAGCGTTTATTTATAGGTAAAAAGTATAGGAATCGGAGACTTCATAAATCTTTTTCGTCACCCGAGCGCTACGTACATTACAAAAGTTATGAAAATGGGTGAAAAAAACACAAAGACAGGTAAATAGTGTCTTATAAGTATACTAAATAAATTATTTAATTGTTTTTCAAGAAATAAAAACAATAGAATTAAGGAGCCGAGTTGAAAGAACAATTTCAAACATTCTGCTTCGTTTAAAGCGAGAAAATAGCAAAGTGTAAAGGCCACAATACTACTCGAACGTCAAAGCGATTAATAATAATAAAAAAATCGCTTGTGTTTTATTTTTTGTTCTGGTATTTAGCGTTGAAAAGCAGCAGACACTGCTGCTTTAGTCAATAACGTTAAGCTACACACCATTAAAGACTTTTTTATTAAAGCATCGTCAACTCAAGAAAAAATTATTTAAAAAGGACATAGTAAGGACGTAGTACGAATAATGTCGATTAGCAAAGCTTTGAAAAGTTCCGTTATTTGCACTGGCAACTGTTAAATTAATAACTGTGTGGTTATGGGGTTTTTCATATTAGCTGTTATTATTCTCGTCACAATGCGCATTATTTTACGATAAACGTCGTTAATATACGACTATATGTGTGTTCTGAGAAAATAAACAGAATTTTAGTATATACTTTGCCCAATCTTTTATTAATAAAAAAATAAGACAATATTAATTGAATGGAAAAATTCGTGAGTAATTTTTATTGACGCGTAGACAAAGCAGAACTAGGCTAATTGTTAATTTTATTAATTTTCTTCGCTTTATTCCACCTAATTCTTTACGCCCCAAGCAAGCGTTTAAATAAAATTAAATAGAGTCTAATGACTAACACTGACTTAAAGTTTTAAGCTGTTGTAAATATAATAATAGTAAAAATGCTAGTGGATCTTCAGAAAGTAAAGACCGTGCTTTTTGCTACAAAATTTAGAGATTGACAAAAGTTATCGTTTACCTCCGTTGCCTTACTTTTTCCTTTTAGCCCATAATAGTTTTGTGAAAATTTATAAAAAGCAGGTTTGGGATACTAATCTACGCAAAATAAACCAAGTGTAATGCAGGAGTAAGCTGTCCGTAATAAAATTTGAATTGTGAATATTATTTTCTTTAATTCTTTATAGGCGGTGTCTTTTATAAACTTTCGGTATTAGTGTTCTGTAAAAGGCAGTCGCAAAGTTTTATTTAGTATTAAGATCCCATCAATAAAAAAATAAATTTGAAGAGAACAAAAAAAGTTTTAAACCTTTTTTCACACTAATATAAAAAGACCTAGCATTGTATTGTGTACACTCGTAAAAGAAAGCCTGCCGGCGAGTTTAAAAAGTATTAAGTTAAAAAACGGGGTTCGTAAAGAGCGTTGTTTTTAGTCTGCGAGCAAACTTTTAGTAAGTTTAGCAATTCCATCAAAGTGAGTAAGATTTCAGTTAAGAAGGCAGCGCAAAAAGTTTTCTTTAAAATAATAAAGATATTGAAGTTTAAATATTAGGATTGTGTTCCACAGTTGTAGGCGGAGCGAAAATATAAATTATGTATAACTTTGTTGCTTAACGCCTGCAGACTCTTTTTTATTATTATTATTACTTAAAGTGAGTTCAATAAAAGCTGGATAACACTTATTTCTTTTTTAACTATTATTTATTAATATAAAAATTGGGATTATTTATAAAAATACTCTTTTGACCAAAGGTTTTTATGTAAGAAATTTAGTTTTATTTTACAGAGTTTTCTTAGACGTTTTTTCTCATGTTTTTAACCAAGTCTTTATCTTTAGTCTACTTTTATGTTTGCCTACCGTTTTAAAATCATAAATCTTATTATAGTTAAAAGTTTTTCAAGTGCTTTATTTTCAATTAGGGTTCTTTAGTTAATTTTTATTGGTCCCGTTTGTAATAGGACTTCCGCAAATTAATTATACTTAAAATAAAGCAGCAATAATTTTATAGTTAATTTAGTTTAATTTAAGTGAGTAGTTCTTTTCCTACGATTTCAGCAATTAGCTTAATTAAAAAAAATTAAATCTTTATCACTGTGTTACTTTAATAAAAAATTTAAACAAGTCATATGAATATGTATGACTACTAAGGAGTTAAGATACAAATAAGTTATTGACTTTACATAAAATAAAGCTTAAGCGGTGCGTAAGTTTTTTGTTACGTTAGGATAGTCCTTGCGGTATCGCTCTGTGTTATTATTTAAATTTTTTTATTAAAATATTTTACATCCCAAATTTTGCTTTACTAAGTAGTACAAATGTGGATTTTTTAAAAGTTTGAACTAAGAATTTTTAACAAATGGTGGTTTTATAACAATATAAAACAGAATGTTTGTGAAATTTAAATTATTAAATAATTACCAACAAAATTCAAATTAACTTATCAAAAAATTTTACGTGATCTTCTGAAAACGTTTTTTTTAACAATTTCCATTTTACAAAAGTCGAAATTTTGAATTTATTTTAACACGCCTTAAAAATTTTGTCTTTACAACAAGAGATCATTATCAAAAGTATTACCATTCCTCTATTTGATGATAACGAGAAAGTATAAATTTTTTTTTTTAAATTTATAAAAAAAATTCAAGATACAAATTTTATAAAAAACAAATTAGTTTATCCTAAATAAAATTTAAAGCCTACATACAAGCATATAAAGAAGCGCCTATATCTTTAATTAATCAAAAGCGTTCTGAATCAAAAATATTTATAAAAAAAATTCAATAGCCCTCGAACACTAAATGTTAGATTGATAGAAAATTTGAAACATTTAAATTAAAAATTCTGCTTCCTCAACTCCAAAAGTCTGAGAATTAAAGCGGACGAATCAAAAAAACGGTCGATGCAATTTTTTAAGCACTCCGAATCTTTCACAGTGAAATTGGTGGACGGATCTATAAAGTTTAGTAAAATATAAAAATTGTTATAGTAAAAAAATAATCAGGAAATAAATCAATTTATAAACTAATTAAAAAATATATTAAAAAAGTGTTAGATTAAATTATAACAAAAATATGATAAATATATATTACATCATTAAAGGAGTAATATTAAAAAAGTTATTTTTTAAAAATTTTTAATTAGAAAATATAAAAAAGTTTAGTGTATAAACAAAAAAATAAAAGCTTTAAAAATAAAGTTAACAAATAAAAAGATTGTAAAAAATTAAAAAATATGAAAAATTTATTAAATAATAAAAAAGTAATTTAAAAATTTTAGCACAACATTAATAATACCTTATGCATTAGTAAAAATAGTATTGTTTTTCTGCTCTATAAACTAAATGGAGTAGCCTTATAAAGTAGTACAAAAACTCTTTATAAAACTTGATTAATTAGTTAGAAGGTAAATTGTAGAAAGTAAATAGAATTTATAGTGCGAATATTAACTTCTTATTTATAAAATAATAATTCTTAAAAAAAATGTTTTTTAAATAAAAAATTAATTAAATGTGAAACGTATTGTTACAAAGTTTACCAGTGGGACCGCGTAATTATTTTATATAATAGTTTTGGTAAGAATATGTACAACTATAAAAGAAGCAAAAAAATTTTTTTTGATTAACTTAAATAGTAACTTAAAATTGTCACAATGCTATTGAGTGTCTAATTTAGTAATTATATTTAATTTTCCACAATGAACGTTGTAAGTATGAACTGAAAAGTGTACTAAACATGATAAGTTATTAAAATAGCTAACAAGCTAAATTATATATATTACGCTGCTAATGTAAGCTATTGTATATATTTATCATATTTTAACTATTAGTATATAATTTTAAAGGATATTGTAGAAAAAATAGAATATTTTGCTGTTACCTAAACATTTCTTCCAGCATTTTTCTGTCACTTCCAAAGCCTTCAGTTTAAAGCGAGACAACTGTAGTTCTTTTTCTAAAATTTTTTCAAGTTCAACTTGAGAGTTCTCTGACATTGCTTTTCACCTTTTATGTTCAGTTTAAGTAATAAAAAGATTATTTATCTATCGACAATAGGACGTTAGCTTGCCTTAAACGAAGTAATTAATTTAACATGTGCAATAACTTCAAGTAAAGTTGGTAAGCCCTTGCTTAAAGAGGTTCAGAACCCTTCGAGTGTATATTGCTCAGGTTATAGTGTCTTATTACTGCCTCAGTTATGTATTTTCTGTAATTTTTTTTATTATTTCTCATTTCTATCAAGTGAAATATGGTAAATATAGATTTAACTATGAGAACAAATAACATTTGCAAATTTTTTGTAAAGTTATTAAGCCCTTGCATAACTAAGATGCTTAGAATATTTTAAAAAAATATTGATCAGCATTATTGCCGTTATTACTGTCTCAGTTAAGTATTATGTTTACTTTTCTCCATTTTTTTTTTATTAAAGAAAAATGATAAAAATATAGCTAATATTTTATTAAAATGCTCTTTTTTTTTAAGTAATAGATGAAACAAGTTGATTAGTTCCTTTTAGGTTTATTAATTATATTAAAAAATGTGTGTTGTGTTTAAATATTTTTATATGTTAAGGCAGCACAACTATATATATTTTTTTACGCAACCGAAACTTGAATTTTTAAAAACACGAGGCGCATTCGCCTAGCTTAGATCTAATAATTTGCAAATTTTGTGTTCTTTTTTGTTGATAATTTTAACCATAGATCCAGCTAAAGTAATTCATTAGTTATTTATTAGTATACAATATTAACTTAAAGATTTAAACTATAAAAAAACAAGTGTTCACGTTAAGGCTATTTTGCTTTCAAATTTTTTAATGAAAAAATTAGCTAGACTGTTATAAATTTTACGCTAACCTTCGTAAACCGAAGGCATTATTAATATTTTTCATTTATTTATTATGAAGTTGGGTACTAAAGTAAAGAATATACGTTCTTTTTACTGCTTAACCCTCATTTCCTTTACGGTAAAGGGTCGGAGAGTACACTCCAGAGGTAGGGAAAAATGACTTTTTACAATCTAATAGAGCACACAGTGCATTTTTGTTTTTATTTAAGTAGTACTTATTAAAATTATCATTTATTATTACGATTAATGTCATCATTACTAAAATAGTATTAATCTTATTGTTATTAAAATTATTATTACAATTATTATTACTATTACTATTGTTGGTAAAAATAGAGATGGAAGTATTACAAATGTTTACCTACTAGATTGGTAGGATTAACAGGTGCTTAGGTTTCCTAAATCTGGTATACCATGAGAATCGTAAGTTTTTATCATAGATAGCAATTTGTTAGTGAGTGCTGGCCTGTTCAAAGTATTTTTCTGCTTTATTTTTTAATCAATTGGGCGATAAATTCAATCTAAACCCTCGGTGCAGTTGCAGGTTTTCCTTATAAACCACGGGGCCTTAGTACACAATCGAAGAAAATTATTTTGTTGGATTTAGAACCTATTTAAGTGTCTTATAGAAGAGTAGATCCAAGCGGAAGGCGCACACATGAGTATAGGTAGTTCCAAGGTTGTTAGTTAACTAGCCTAAGTGTGAGTTTCATTTGAACTTGGGGTCAATAACTACTCCAAGATACTCAGTCTTCGAGCATCAGAGGATACCTTTATTAAATTTTGGAAGTTACTCACGGGCGATGTTTCCTTCTACGCGAAGCAGTAAGGCCTGCATTTTGTTGGCTTAAGTGTTTAAGATTATTAGATGCAAACCGGCTTTCAAAAAGTTCTAAGTATGATTGCATATCCCTTACGCCCAACGGGTCTAATTTAGAACTTGTATGGATCACAGTGTCATCAGCATAAGCATACTTGCGCAAGGGAAACAGTGTTGACCGCCGTTGGGATACCTGAAGTGAAGATAGAAAACAGCAGAGGGAACAAAAGGGACCTGTGAGACACATGCAGAAGGAGAATACGACGAATAGGAAATTAGGGTTTCTATCTGCACTAAATTTTCCATCTTTTAAAAAGGGCCCGAATAATTGAATTAGGTACGAAGGAATATTATAATTCGCCATTTTCAAAATTAATTCTTTGTGCCATATGTTATCAAAGACTCCTTCCTACAAGGATTGTATCTATTTAATAATTTAACGCCTCACAATCTGTTCAGTGGAGAAATGACTTTTTTGAAAGCCAAACAGTACATTAGGGATTATGGACTCCCTCTCCAAAAAATTCTGCAACCTTATTAAATTCTGCGATTTTTCCGAGGTAAGATTGGTAGGCTTCTATGGTGATAATCTTTGAGCGAATGTTTGGGGGTGGTCGACTTTGGTATCATGACAACATAGGAAGGTTTCCAGCGTTGGGGAAACGTTTTTAGAGGAAACATATAAATCCTTTCAACAATGTAGGCGAGTGCAGTTAATGGACCTGTTTAAGCATTAGATTAGTTATACCTTCTGGACCGCTCACTTTTTCATGGTAAGTGTTCTTATCACTCCAGTAATTTCTTCCAGTGTGTTAAGCGTTAGCGAATCAACGAGTGTACATTCTTAATCGGTGTAAGGAATAGCGGTAAAACAAAAAATTAGAGCAATTAACACTTTGAGAAGTGGAATCGGAGTGGCGCTCAGAAATTCTGCAAACAGATTAGCCTATCTACCGGGAAATAAATTGCGTGAACTGCGTGGTGGATTATGTATGAGTGTAGGGAGGTTTTATTTGTTCTTAAACCCTTTTGCTAATTTCCATAAAGAGGATTTTAGATTTTAAGCTTGTCTTTTCAAGTTTTGTTGAAAAAAATAAGTAATCTCTTTTAACCCTATAATTCGCTTGGTTTCAAAGGCGTTTGTTGCTCGGGGATTTAGTAAGCGCGTACCTTCTTTTCATACATCTCCTTTTGGTTATTGTGCGTTTCAACTTTTCCGGTAGTATAAGAGGTAAAACAAGTAGGTTTTGTGTTCTATTGCTCGATTGTGGGAACTCAAGAATTACGGATTCTAAGCGCGTCAATGCATCATTGAGGTTACAGAGGGGCAACGTAGGAGCCACGAAAAAGGAAGGTCGTCCTCCTAACATTCTTTAAAACTAGACCAATTCGTTATTTTATCCTCCATTTTAAATTTTAGGGAGTATGATGAAGAGTGATTAGACCAGGATTGCGGTCAGAAAACAGTTTCAACAAAAAACGTTGTTATAGAAATTGAAGCACAAATGTTCTTCATCAGGACAATAACGAGCACACCGGTTGTGTAAGTTGTGGCAAAATGATTTGGGCCACGGGGACCCTATCAGAAGGATTCCTATTTCTTTTGCAAGTTTTTCTATGACCTCAGTTGGGCTCGCGCAAGTACAATTCCAGAGTGGATGTTTACAATTGAGCCCCCCACCAACAATTACTGAGATTGAGCCAGAGAATATTGCAATAATATACCTCCTTTTAAATGTTTTGTCGGAAGGTTTATAGGTTGAAAAAAAAAGTATGAACCATACCATGGTTATTAAGTTTCAATTTAAGACCTAAGCCCTCAAGACCGAAAAAAGTTTTTGGTATTCGAGAGGAAAGTGCAGCATGTGTTTTTATTATGAATAAAGCTACTCCGCCATGTCCAGAATTGGGTCTATCTTTTCTATACAATGGATAGCTTGGCAGCGTGTATTTTATCACCCTGATTAATGTGCGTTTCTGAGGCTAAAATTATGTCAATACCTGACCTCATGGCCAGCTCTTGGAGTTCGCGTATCCTGGGTGCGGGAGAGCAGCACTCCAGACTAAGATCTTAAAGTTGTGTACCCTGGGTAAAACTCATGGGTCATATATAAAGTTTATTTATGATTTTGCAATTTCTGTCGTTAATGAGGAAACAAAGTTACCCATCATTTCATTGACGAGTTTGAGCCTTTTAAATTTGCCATGGCTCGGTTTCCTTTCATGTATTTCAGAATCAGCAACTATACATAGAGATATCTGGTTGGACTTTTCGTTCTTCCCTCTTTGCTTCATTACGTGCAGAAATGACTGTGTGTTCCACTTAGCAATTCGCGCAGCGGGGTTTAACAGATTTGTCTTTTCCGCGAAATTTAGAGTCGTAATTACACTTTTAATTCTGATGTGCAGTACTAGAAACTGCCCATGTGGTTGGGAGCGGTAAGTACTCGCGCACTGGAAGTGTCGGGGGGTTTAACAGTTTTCCTTCTAAAAGTATCACATTTAACCGAATGTTTTTCATAGGAGTCTATTTTCTGATAAGATTCTTTTAAATTTGTTTGTGAGCGAATTGTTCTTTTAATGCTTCGACGGAGGCAATAAGTTTTCCCAAGCTCGGGAGTGTATCGCCCGGTTTCGGAATGTCCCATTTTAGACTTTTGCAGAAAAGTTTTGCTTCTGTTGGTCAGATTTTAATATATGTATATATATGATTAGTTAGTATATTTAGCAAATCCTTAGTAAGAAATAGAGGTAGTAATAAATATGTAAATAAATAAGATATTTATAGTCAATTCGTAGTAAAAGTAGGGGTGCGCAGGTCACATTCAAAGACACCACTAATATTATCCGAACTACGCAGTAATAAAAATAAAAATTGTTAGCAAAGTATATATTTTTAACTTAGTCAAGGCAGAAACTGCATAAATGAACGTAGAATGGTAGCAAGCACGTTTAAAATGGTTGCACTTCAATAATTATAAAGGGAGAGCAGCAAAGCTTAGCTTTCGAAAGTGGTAAAACAAAATAATCCAGTCTTGCTGCTCTGCCATACCGCTACTTAGAAGTAAAGATCGACACAGTAATTTAGTTATTAACACTAATAACTGTGTGGTGAAGTGATTTTAACAATTTATTTATAAAAAGGTATTCATTTCCACGTACACCATTTTTATATGAAGCTTATTTAAAAAACGTCTAGTACAAACATGTTCATTTAAACTTTTAGTTGAAAGTAACAAAGAAGCAATTGTCAACCCAAGTATACTACTACATAACTAACTGTACAGCAATGCAGTTAAATATTTGGGAATGTAGTAATATAAAAAACTTAAAGTATTCTTATATGTTAAATATAAAATACTATAGCGGTAAGGTAGATGCAATTTTAGATACAAGAAACCAAGTATTTGATCTAATAAAATTATAAAGTAGATACAAAAAGAATAGTAAGGTGCTTTACAGATGTGAATTTTTTTTTGACACGGACACCTACTTGTTGAACGATACTAGTATAGTTGTGCCTATGGATTTAATAAATGTTTATAAAGGAGTAAAGATCACAATATAAATATTTTAATAAAATACTTATATGCACACTACTAGAGTGCCGTATCTTAACTCATCAGGCACAAAAACCGAGATTGCATAAATGAAAAAGCTAACTTGGACAAAGATAAAAATAATTACATTGGAGTTATCGATCTTCAAAAATTTCGGAGAAAAAAGTTAGAGCGATTATATGTAACCTAAACGACTTAAAACATTTAGGAATCACGTAGAGTATTATACATCTTATTAGTTTATGAAGCATCTAGTACAAGTTGTTACTGCTCTTAAAGTAAAGTTCATTTTTTATAGTTTTTAATCTGATATAGCCCGCAATTTTTATTATCCAAATGAAAACTATAGTATTTTAGTGAGTTGGAACCTGTTAACGTTACGGAATTTACATTCACATTTTGACTTTTACTCCAACCGAGTAACACAAATATAGAAATTAAAAATCTTACAACTATTAAAAATTTGATTACTAAATCTCTATAACAAGTTGCCCGAAAATGCATCATTATAATTTGCTTTGGTAGTTTATTCACCTTATTAATAAAACCAAAATTTTCGACAACGAAGTTATATAAAAGCTATCACTTTTTATTAAAGCCCTTTTATCTATTTCTAGAGGCCATGTAGTTCAAAGCCGAGCCAGCCTTAAACCATTCTACTTGATTCTCATTTAAAGTGTGATTCAGAAAAATGTCTCTAGTAGCTCCGTCGGCTGCCAAAAAGAAAAAGTTTTTTATTGCTATCTTATGTAAAAGTTAATTTACCCGATTCAATAGTGGCCTTCAAGGGCTCTCCCGGCTTCAGAGCAGTCACGTATAACGTAATGCGATCGGTAGGATTTATAGCATCGTAGTCAGCGGGGTTCTTAAAAGTGAGTGGGAGAAGTCCTTACGGTTGGTAATTTGGTAATGCCGTTACTTAAAGATTGGCCATGTTAATAAGAGATACCTTGTTTCTTTAAATTTGTTTCATGAATCCTAGCAAAACTTTTTACTATTATAGCAGCCCCGCCTAGAAAACGAGGTTCCAGAGCTGCATGCTCTCGGGAAGACCCCTCACCTTGCAAGAATATAGATGACTTATACTACACTTAAGCGAGTTGGAAACACGAAAATAAGAAGACCATAATTTTCGTCTCCAATCACAACCCACTTCTGCCCTGCGGACTTATACTGCTTGGCGACTTCTGGCACTGAATCAACCTCACTGGTGTAGACGTTGACCACCTTATTGGCCTTTTTTTTATAGGGGTGTAGTGGATAAGTAAAAGCACCGCTGGTACAGCTGAGAATAAAGAACCTCGTTGTTTGCAATATTAATAGCGCCGATAAGCATGTTGTTGCTAATATTCTCGAGATGGCCACGATATTTTAACCAAGGCCTAGAAAAAACTTTCTTGAGTAAAGTGACGGCGCGCGCCGTTAAATTGGACTAGACCCAGCCATTGATATGTGATCTGTGGTGCATTTTCCCTTGACTTTGATGAGGATGGGGCACGATCGAAAGTCCTCGCCATCCCATTTCTCAAAGGGCTTGAGGGCTTGAATGCGGAGGGACTGGGGATCAATGACGACCTCAATGTCGGAGGAGTCAGCAGGTGGTGCCTGATAGGTGTCCTCCCCTTAAGAGTCGCGCCAAATTTAGAGCAAAGATATAAGGCCTAAAGGAAGCTGACACATGCCAGAATCGAAGCCTTTAGGAGGAAGCTCGTGGCCCGTGGGCGGTTTTAAAAGAAATTCCGAGCCGTCAGCGGCTATGAGTTTATCCGTCAGGGGATTGAACAGAAGCGTCCCTGTAATTCAGAGCTAAGAGAAGGCCAACCAGAGTCCTGAATACTGGAAAGAGGGTAACCTGCTAATGAGAAAGCCGTGCAGAGTTCAGGAGAAGTAATGAAAGCATGAGTGGAGGGATTGCCATCGTTGCGCTTAGAAAAGTTTCTAAAAAAAAAAGGAAGTTTAATTTGATCAAAAGAGCGGGCAGTAAAAAACGGGAACGGGAAGGCACCGGTTATATGACGTCATAATAGTGTTCTTCTCGCCCATTTTCACATCGGATCGTGACCATTGGCCAATGCAGGGCCCACAGGCATTGGCCAAGACCACGCCGCCGGCGTCGCGAAAGACCTGAGCCTGCCCGTCCTACCGCGGTTGACCGTAGCGTTAGTAAATTGCAGTAAGAAGCTGTAAAGTAGAAGCACTCTCTCAATGGTGGCCCGAATTTGCTCGGACCCGGGAGTCACTGTGAAGCTGGACTTGAATTTTGTACCTTTCGCTATGAACAACATCAGAGGACTAGTAAAGCACACGCGGGATTTACGCACTCAAAGCTTGCTGCGCCACGGAGGCCGCGCGGCTCATGTCCTCGTACGAGGAATTGGTGCAGGAGCCAATAAGACCAACGCAGATCTTTTCCGGCCAATCGTTCTACATCGCACAGGTTAGTTTACAACCCCAGAGCGCCAGTGCAGGTGCTCTCAAGTAACCTTTCGCACGTTTTCTTTGAATTTAGAAAGAGGATGAGCCAAGTCTGGCGAAAATGGGCCATTTACGTGCGGCTCCAAGGAGGAGAGATCAAGCTCAATGACTTGGTCGTACTCGCACCCTGAGAGTAACGCTAAGTACCACGTGCCTCTCACGATCACATGGGAGAACCCTCATCTGGTTGAAGCAAGAAAGTGTGCTTTTTGGCCAGTCGAGCAATGTTAGCACGGCCCGTCGCGGACAGATAGTCCGCCATACGCTTGTTGAACGGGAATACAGAAGTTGTCGCCCCCACCTCCGCCCCCATATTGCAAATGGTGCCCATGCCTGAACGGAGCTGGCATGAGCGTCGGAATAACGCAGAGAAGTCAATAGTAATAGCCACCAGTGCAGGAGATGGAAGGGACTCCCGGGCCAAAATATTCCACTATGTTTCCCGTGCCGCCCTTGACTGTGAGGATCCCGCAAACAGCAAGAATGATGTCTGACGAGACGGTCACGTGTTCATTAGCAACACGAGAGGGTGCGTCGCTGTGACTGAGTGGGCGTATACCTTTTGGGGAGGCCCAATCCTGTAGCTTTCCGGTCAGGCGGACTCCAATGATATTGGGATTTTTCAGTTCCCAAGGAAAGTCGGCCATCACGTCGACGGCGTCAGCGCCGCCGACGCCTATGCAGAGCGCTCCGAGCCCACCTACATCGCGTATGAGTTAATAATCATGGTAATACAAGAACTAAAAAATGGATAGGAACCTCCGTTGACGGTATGCGAGTCGGTCCCTATCATCAGGAGTCCTCAAAAAAAAACTTTTTTTTTAACAAAATAAAATATTAAAAACCCTTTACCGGGAAAAACATAGTTCTCAAGGAGAATTTGGTGAATAATACCGCTTCCAGGACGCCAAAAGCCAACCTAAAAAATTATAAAAAATTAGTAGGCAATAGAGGTTACGAATCTAAAAGATTAACGCCATATTTAGAAGATGCAGTAGATAAAAAGTCGTAGACTTCTTTGTTAGAGACTTTGGCCCGCTCCAAATCATCAGTGCCTAACAAAATTATTACAAGGAATTCAACTTGTATAATCAGTAATTGCCTCCATCTTTAGCTTCAATTAAATGATCACAGTGGATAGTAGAAGGCACAGCAACTTTTGAAAGGCCGGAGCTCATAAACTGAAGCATCGCCATCTTTACAAATAAAACCTTAGAATAAGTTTCTATGACTGCAGAAATAGCTACCTGTGCAGTGGCATCTTGCATAGCAACTCTGTCGGGTCGTAGATTAAGGTAACTTTTCCCTCTAATTAATTCCTGACAAATATCAAAAATTGATTTTTCATAACGAATTTTAATAAACTCTAACTGAATTTTCTGGGTCATCAAGATGCGAGTATAAAATCTTCTCGGATAACGTGAGAGGTTTCATATTCAATCTTAAGTTCAATATAAAATTAGAGGTAGGAAAAGTTATTAAAAAAAGTTTTATAATTATAAACTAAGAAGTAAAAGTAAAAGGCTACCTGTCTTTTACAATTTTTAATTTTCTTTCCATATTTTCGTAATCAATAGTTTTCTTATCGAATTTACTCATAGAGACTAAACAAAAGTAGGTTACAATTTATTTATATAGTTAATTTTTATGATATAGTAGAACCTCCTGACATTCGTCGGAGAGTCCGACAATGAATAATATTACTAATACATACAATCTTAAAGATCATCACGTTTAACCACCTCGAAAAAAAAAAAATTTTTTTTTTAAAAAAAGGTTAACGATTCATATAAATAGCAGAAATTACCGAAATAATCTTTCTTAAAGGCAAAAAGAGCAAGTTTTGTAAAGCTATTTAAAATTGTGAATAATTGTTTAGAGGTGGCGGGCCCGGTCAACCTCACCAAATGTAAACGATAATGAGCTATTGCCTACTTTGGTTCAGTGATGTTTTTTCGGATAAAAGTTTTTATTTTAAGCGTGTAAACGGCTATAATTGTCAAGTAACACGAGCTATAACGCTTGGTTAAGTATGCTATCCTTTACATATAAGTACATCATTGCGTAAGTAAGAATTTGAGTAATTAAGAAGGGTTTCACTTGTTGCGCTTTAAAGGATATTCTCTACTACTTTCTTTTTTTGTAAACTTGTTATCCTTAACTAGTAAGCTTAAGCGACAGTTCACCGATTCTACATTTTATACATTTCGTTTTTAATCCCTAATGTTTAGTGCACTTTAGATACATCTTGGACTAACAGGCTCTATTTTAGTTAAGGCTGTTAAAACTATTTCTAGGCATTCTTTCTTCTATCTTAATGAGTAAGGCTTAAAACAGTGAACTACAAGGTGGCAGCGACAGGAAGAATGCCGAAAACTGACACGGAAATAAAAAGATGAAAAAATAATTATTTTAGTCTGGTATTCAACTAATGAGTTTTTGGGTCCTTAAAGTAGTCTGATGAGGGTTTGTGTTGCTTGCAATTTACTCAATGGCACAATATGTACATCAAAGGAAGATCAAATTTATAAAGCAAGAATTATTCCCTTATTTTCAAGTTTAACAAAGTTTAAAAAGTTCGCTATATCGCATAAAAAATTAACTTGAACTACCTGTACTTTTGAACCTTAATTACTTTTATATTTATTTAAACCACTTTTTAGGCAGTTGTAACTATAACTGTAATAACCACAACTAAAGCACAAAAAGGGCGAATATCGTCAGCTGCTCGTGTTTTTACTTTTATAGTAATCATAATTATCGTATATTAACCTTTAATCCCTTATTTTTTCTTCTGTAGCTTCCTTTCTAATTCGCAAACGGCTTTGAAGAAAAATACAAATTTTAAATAAAAGCAAATATCTACTTGTAACTTGTAATTTTTAGAGTTGTACTTAACCTTCAAACTTTTGAAGGCAGTTTCTGCACCAAGACAACTTTTATTAACCTTCTCACTTGGATAAAATATTAAACAGTTTTACTTTACACTAATGATTACTGTAGCATACCAGTGCAATAAATGTTTGGCTTTCTGTTCCATTGAGATGGGCGTCCACTTTGAAATTAGCGAGGATTCGTTCCCTACCACTTTAAGTCCAACGAAGTGAGTCGGGGGCATTCTATCCAGTCTTCTGGGGCCATCTTGATATACTTTTTCATGAGGGCAATATAATTGGGCGCTTACACCCTAACCCCTCGGAAAAGCGAATATAATATATTAATCAGTAAAATTTTTCCTAAGACTGCTTAAAGCTCTCCACTCTTTCTTTTCCCTTTTCTTTTTTCCTATGTTTAATAATATATAAATTTTAACATAGTTAAGACTAATATTACTATTCTATACTTAATAGAGTTATTGAATACTTAAAATATATATGATATATAGAAAGAGAAAATACTATCTAAATGTAATTTTAGCGAATTGTTTTGTTTTTAACTTAGACGTGAACCACCCTCCTTTACCAAAATACTTAACTAAGTGCTAGTTGGTCGTCTAAGAAAAATTTTGTTTTATATTAAATCATTTGACGCCAGCACATTTCAGCAATTGCTAAGTGTCCACTCTATACAAAGGGCTTTATTAATATCTATCACAAGTCAGTAGTAACTAAAGCTGGGGTCTTTAGATCCTAATTCGAATAACTTAGCTCTGCATTTCCTTTTTGAAAAATTTTTGTACTCGTATTTAATCTTTATCTCTGCTATTATTCATATTAATATAAAGTATGCTACTGAATAATACTTTATAATAATTTTACTAGCGTTGATGGTTGTCTACTGGAGTATCTAGCGACTGAGAATTATACCGTCCATGTTTATTAACTCGAATTTCATTTGTAAAGCCTTTGGTAATTAGTTTTGAGGGGACAACATTCTCTCTACCTACTAAAATGCCGAAACTTAAAATATTATAAAAAAAAATGCTGGAACAGAAAATAAGGAAGAGAAATGTTTCTATGTAACAAACACAAGCATTTGATAAAAACCTAGAATAATATTTTTTCTACAGCAATAGTTCTTATAAACCTTCAGCATGAATAGTTTACTAAATACATCTATTGTCTACATCATAAAGAATTTAGTTGTTAATATTAATAGACACATTGGCCGGAATGCATTTTAAAACCCTTGTTCCTTAAAGTAAATAATTACAGTACAGTTCAAAAAGATCGAAATAATTGCAAATAAGTTTTGCCAGTAAAACATCGTTCTTATCTGTTCAAGTACGTTATTATGCTCGATTAAAAGTAATTAAAAGTCAGTTTAATTTTTACGTCATAAAGGAAGCACTTGGATGCTTCAAATACTTAAAAACGTCTAGAAGTAAAACCTAAGAACTATAGATTAAAAATTATTTCATTTATTTTGCTATAATGATTTATAAATTAATATATGTCATTTTTTCGGTACGCTTAATCCAACCTTATACAATGTATTTTTACTAAAAAAATCTTTTTCTTACTTAATTTATATGGAATCTTTTATGGTTATTTACCACTTTTTTACTTTTATTATTTTCCTTGCTATTTAAGCCCTCGAATGAGTAAAAGTCGTTAAGTTCTATGAAGATAATAAAGCTCGCCAAAATTACAATTGAAAAAATAAAAGAATAATAAAAGTATAAAATAAGTTATTATGTATATTTTAATATAAAACGCAATAATTATATATGAAAAAGAGAAGGAATTAGCCAATAAACCTAGAAAGAAAAAAACTTAGGAAACAAGAAGGTTAAAATCAGAACCAAAATCATATAAAAGAGAGGCAATACTCGCTTCACTATAAAGAATATAAGAATTAAGAAGCTCTCTACCGGGCGTTTTCCTTTTATCTAAGAGTTAACCCCCCGGGGTTCTTTAAACTAAGTGTTCGAGGTAATAACATGTGCTCAATCCCGAAATTTTTAACAAATTATACTATAAAAATTTAAAAGCTTTGTTAATTTTTTTTGTAAAATTTAGCTGATGTGTATTTATCAAACTTTAAAATTAAGTAAAGCTTGAAAAACAACTAAATTATCTGCTGCTATACAATAGTTACATGTACTGTAGTACAATAACGGTTACCATTTTTGCAAACAACTTTGTTCATTAGCTAAAATAAACAAATAGTAAAAGTAATCAGCCAATAGACTGTTTTCTTAAAAGTTTGCGTGCAAGAAAATATAGACCAATTGTTATTAAAAAACTAATAGCGCTCATAACTATTTTTTCTAGGCGGAGTGGGCTTCTTTTTTTTTTTTTTAAAGAAAACTTGATGAAGTTTGGGCATCATTTAAAAGCTAGTATAACGCCTGCCTGGCGATTTCATTTTATAGATTATGACAGTTTGAAAACCTTTCTAAAAGCAAACAGACCCCCTAACTGGAGTACAAATCATGAAGAATGTTTTATTAACATGCTAGGAGAAGAATTAAAAAAAGTTATTGTTTTATTTAAGTGTTAGTATTATTTAGTTTATTTAAAGCTAGGTTTCTGCTTTTGAAGCTCTTAAGTATAAGGAATTAGAGCGCCACATTGCCTCTGTTGAAAAAGAACTCCTTCTTAATTCCTTAGAAGAAAGAAGTCTTGAAGTGGAAGATAGCGAAAGAAAGAGTTCTATTTTAGCTGAAGTATTTTTATTCTTTTTACTTCTAAAATCTTTTATGTATCTTTTGTATTTAAATTTCCAGATAGTTCTTTAAATATTTTTTAACGTTTTCTTTTTGGTTAGCTGGACTTGATAGCACAGGAAATATCGCATTTGTATAGCTTTAATTCACTTAACTATACTGGATTTTTAAAAATTTTAAAGAAACATGATAAGACAACAGGTTTATTTGTACAGTTTATGTTATGCACCGATAATGAAATGAAAATTTCATATTGCCCCTCTTTTAGGGATGACTTTGAAGCCCGCATTTATGGTTCACTTAGCAACTCAACCTTTTTATAAAGAAACTTTTGATGTTGTTATTGTGAAATTGAGGTTTTTTTATTTTATCAATTGTTATATTAACTTTCTTACGAACTTCTAAGTGAACTTTATGATTGCTTGAAGCCTCAAGGACCTGCAGCAAAGCCATCTTCAGGGACGGTATTTGTTCGCAAGACGACTAAATATTGGGTCCGATTTGTTTTAAAAATTTTATTTTTAGTAGATTTTTAGAATAGTAATAGTAATATTACTATTGCACATACTTTATTGTTATTATTATATATTATGAATTTTTTATACTTTTTTATATATAAAGTTATTTATCCTTACGAAGCGTTTGAAATTTATTATAAAAAAAAAATTATATTTTACGTTTTTCTTTATTTGTTATTATCTACTTTTAAATCTTTTTATTAGTTTTATTTATGGCAAGTTTTAATTTCTTTTGAAGGTCCACGAGGATAACGTGATGGAAGTAAAGTGCCGCGTGATTAAAAATTTGCCTATCCTCGTTTTTGGGTGCGCTCTGCGATTGCGTTGCTTGAATTTTCTATACGGCTTTTAACTCTTTTTTCTCTAGGCGAAGTGAAGGGAGCGATGCGAGTCCCTACATTTCCTCCGTCTATTTTGATAATTCAAATTTAGATTTGTACCACGAGCGCATCGAAAAGGTCGAGCAAGCACTCGCTATTAGGTAGTATCTACTTGCTACGTGGATATAGAGTTTTTTTGGCTTGGAATTAGATTCCGTTGGTACGGGAAATCTTCCAACGAAGTTTTTATTGAGAGAAAAATTCACCACGAAGACTGGACGGGTGATTTTAGTGTGAAGGAACGATTTTCCCTTAAGGAAAAGCACGTGAACGAGTTCTGCCGAGGTGTGCGTTATTCGCCCGTTTTCTTAATGTTTGTAGTTCTATATAGTGAAATTTCCACGTGGCAGGCACGTACACGCTCGATAAAAAAGTTGAAAAGTGGAAAGAAGTCAAGCCCTTAGACGAGTGCGAGGCGACGTTGCGACTCTCTACTGAAATCCAGCACCAGATCCTTTCGCGTGCTTTTCTTTGATTGTTAGCTCCGCTGTGCTTGGCACTGCCTAGAATTCTCCGTTACCAACTTTTTAGGGGGGCTTGAGCCTGTACTGCGCACGTTTTACAACCGCACGGCTTTTCAGCATCCCAACACCGCCGAAGTGCGGATCAGCTTAGACGTTCAGCTGGCGATGATCCGGGAGGCGGACCGCTGCGGTGGTAACTGGCGCAGGAAAGAGGTTGGATTGCTGCCCTTTTTTTTTTCGAAGACGCCGAGCCCGACTCCCTGCCTCTTCCGTCTTGTCAGGTCGGTGTTAATTGGCCCTTTCCTCAGTTGGACGAGGCGGACATCCACCGCTTTCCTTATGCCATACTGGAGGTCAAGCTGCAAACCGCCGCTGGGGCGACTCCGCCCGCGTGGATTACGGATCTCGTGAACTCGCATTTGGTAGAGCCCGTTCCAAAGTTCTCAAAGTTTATTCATGGTTGCGCCACGCTCTTGGAGAGTCGTGTCCGCCTCCTTCCTTTCTGGCTCCCGCAAATGGAAAGGGTTCGTTGCGCGTTTCTTTAAGGGCACTCCATTTTTTAGGCATTTCGCCGTTTTAGGATATCCGCAAGTCTCCGCCGCATAAACAAAGCGCGCAGAGTGCGGAAAGGTCGTCCACACTTTTAGGTAAAAAATCTTTTGGTTATTATAGCAACTCGAATAGTAATTACAGGCTGTATTGGTTTACGGGCTGTTCACGTGAAGAGTACACCCCCTGGGGTTCCACGTGTTCTTCTGGCGGAAATGATGCTGTTGTGCGAATTGGAACTCTTAAAGGAGAAGTCCTTGACTTGGAAGACCAAAGTTTAAACCACGAAGATTCTAGCGAAGACGAGGCCACGGCTCTCTTGCGAAAGAGACGAAGAAAAAACCTGAACTTCTTAAGATGCTTAACGAAGGGAGGAGCCTTCGTGAGAAATAAACTCCGCTTGAACGAGGTGGCGTAGCCCTTCCATACGGCATGCCCCCGATTGGCTCATAGATGCCTTGCCTAGCAGCCCGTGGTATTGGACTCTGCCGTGGCCAGCAGTTCGAGGCAGCCGAAGCCCATCGCACTGCCCGTCCGAGTCGAGCCGAAGGTTCATTGCTTTTATTAACGTGTGCCGTCCACGTCATGAGCTCCTTGTAGGTGTTTTTCGCCAATGAGCGCACTTTCTTGAATTGGCTTCACACATCAGTGCTGATGTCTACGATCGGATTGGCCCTTCTGAACTTGGGCCCACGTGGAGTCAGCACGCACGACGGAGCCTCTATAAAGAACCGCTCTTCCATGTGCGTACCAGCGTTTTTTATGGCTGGTTTGGCGCACAGCCGACTTAAAGCATTTGTGCTGCAGAGTTGCTGGGCTCACCATTATTCCCGTTTCTTTGCTGTTCCTGATTTATGCGTTGTACACTTATTTTTGGCGAGACCAGCTGATCCGTCGGCGTTCTCCCGGTTCGTAGCGCTTTTTACTTCCTTGTAATTATTGGTGCATTACAGTTTTATTTAAATGCTACAGGCCCGTACAACACGGTCGGAGGGCCAATTATAATCACGGGTATATTTATTGCGGCGCTGAGCATCAACCTTGTCATCTGGTTTCTGGACCACGGCACAGACCCCGCCACGTGGTAGTAGGAACCGCCGCCTTCTCCTGAACATTCACTTTGGCGGAAGTTAGAACGTTTCGTAGAGCATTATCAGCCAATCCGCTGGAAACTTCATTTGCTATTCTCGAACTAAATAGTATTTGTTTGTTTTAATAATAAAGCACGTAAATTTTTTTTTTCTGGGGGAATGGGGACCTTTCGCAGCTGATTTCTTCTAAGAACAGCTCGTTTTCTTGTGTGCAGGGTTTATCGTCTGCATCGCAAAACGCAAACTTATTGTTAAGGTCATCAACCATTTTTTTCAAGTAGTTCTTTCTCTTTTATAAAACTAGACGGTGAATACTATTAAAAAGAGATTTATGACTGAACTTTACTTACCACGTCGTAACTCAAGCACGGGACGGCCCTTGACTGAAGCCCCAAACTAACCTCTTCTAGTATTTTTTGTTGAAAGGAGGTATTGAAGTACGCCACCTCCAGTGGGTAGTACCTTGCAAGCAACGCGGTATTGAAAAAAAAAGCAATCTCGGTAATCCGTTTTTACTAGAGACTTACTCCTCTGCGCACGAGCCAAACTTAAGAAACTTTTCCTGCGTTTCGGTTTTTCCAGGGGGCCGGTAGTCCTGCAAGGTAGCTGGTCATAGTTGCCTATACGGGTTGATATGCGTGGAGGGCACCAACTTGTGGGTAGCACCGGAACGCTCCGAGCTCCAAGCGGCCATCGGCCAGGGTTCGGTGCGGATCGACCTTCCCGTGGGGCCCGACGTTTGTTAGGAATTGGCCAATTTAAAAAATATATAAAGGCAGTTTGCTTACAACAACAGCGACGTGCATGCCCCCACGCTGGCAGCATCGTTGAGTGCCGCAGTCAATTTTAGACAGCCAGCAACCGAAACCGGGGTGACTGTGGTACCAGCCGATAAGCTTTTCCTTTTTATTTAGCTATTTAGTTTTTTTTGAGAGTCCTAGCTCTTATAAGAGTGCCGTTGGATGAAAACCTTCTCAGCAGCAGTGACGAGCAAAAAGTACATATACTCCCCGACGACGGGATCCGAGCTCATATCGGTTACTCTTGTATGAAATAAATTTAAATTTAAAATAGACGAAGATTATAGTCTATAATTAGGCGGACCTCGTCTCTGTTCCTATAATGGGTAGCGGGTAGGAGTCGAAAACAACACAACTCCTATCCTTAACTCTTCCTACCAGAATACCCATAATTTCTTGGTCTCCCCCTGCAAATGCATGTGTGGCCTCATTTGAGTAAATAAACTTTGCTATTGCCGGTTTTTAAATAAGTGCGAGGCGTACAAATACCATTTTTATTGTTGCCACAGAAGATATTTTAACTTTTTTAAAGTATAAAGGACTAGAAGTAAGTATTTACGGGCAAACACAGGTCAAATGCAAACATTGTAGCATTCTAAAATTACTCATTATTCCATGGAGCTTTCGCGACTAAGCTGGCATACTCCGTTTCGCTAAAATTAAACAGTTGCGTTTCTGAGGTTTCCTAACCATTAAAGAACAAATTTTTAAATTTTGTAAAGAGAGGGTGATTTCAAATATATTGTTTACTAAAGAATAAAGTATAGGAAACCTCGGTATTGATTTCCGAAGAGAAAGAGAAAGAGAGATCTTCCTCTGCCATTTTGTTCAATTTTGTTTCTCAAAAGGTTACACAAGAAAGAGATTTGAAGGTTAGTCTGGCAAATTAGGCTTTCTACTGAAATATTCAAGGGAGCTTTTGAAACTTTTTACAAAAACTTTTCTCGAGACGTCGTTATAGTTTCAAAAACTATTAACTTTGAGGCGTTTGAGGGTTAAATTTTTTTTTTTTTAGATATGAAAGCCTACGGCTAAACCACGTATTGTACTCTATTTATATGTTTAACCATCTTACCGTTAACTTAAAACCTTTTTTTTAAGCCTACAACTTTATAGTTAAGATATTGAAGCTGCGGTTGCTTATACAGTTCGTAGTGTGGAAAACAGTTTAAAGTATCTCAATTTTAATTACCTTATTTTAAATTCTACTGTTATTACTTCTTTAACGATAGTAAAAGCATTGCATTTATATATATACTTGGGTAATCTCACTTTTTACTATTATATATTTTTATAGCAGTTAGATAAAAACTTAGTTCTTACTGAAATTCTTTTCGCACTTTTTGTTAATATATAATATTTTTTTATAAAGAAAACAGTATTAAACGGTTTGGATCATTTTTTCCTTCGTTTTCGTGGTTAACTTTTATTACAAGCTGAAAGAACTGAAGTAAAGGGAAGTTTTAAGGAATTTATGCTACGAGTTGGTCTTTTGCTAAAGCATAAAATAATTAAAAATATAGCTCGACTTAATGGTATAACATTGAATAAGATTAAAAGCTTTACCCGATTACCAAGTTGGCTTTTATGTTAACACTTTACCAGGGAATATCTATTATTATTGAAATCTCACTGTTGTTACGCCTTCTACATATGTTAAAAATCAAGCCATAACCTAGGTAAGGTCATTTAAAGGCTGTACTAAAAAAATAATTTTTGAAAAGTGAATGATTTTATTTCTTATTTTTTCGAATGTTTATAGAGGGGTATTATACTTTTTGCAAGATCTCCCCTCCTCGATTGCTTGACACATCAATTTCAGATAAAGTTCAATTGCTTCTTTAGAGTCATCGCTGGAAACAATAGGATAAGTGACAATCCGGGGATCAATATTGCTATATAAAAGGGAATATTAATAATTATCAAATAATTAATTATAATTTTGTATGTCCTCATTAACTTGATGAAAGGTTACACTATTATTAAAGATATCTTGATAATGTGCCAATGTTTAAAAGTAGGTTTGACAAAGTACAATTAGTGTTAGGTTTTTAAGTTTTATATATTGTTTTAGGGGCAGCAAGGAGAACTCGACACACATTTACTTTTTCATAAAGGTATTTCTTTGTAGCCAAAAAACTTAATTTTTACTAGCAATCACAATATATTGAAATGTTTAATATTTATTATTAACATATAAATATTATTTATTTGTTACTATATACTCTTAAAAATTCTTATAATAAAATTTTTTCAATGAATTATTTTTAACATGAATTATTTTTAACACTTTTCTAATTAAAACTCTGAATTAACTTTGGAAATTCTCATAAATTTTTATAGTTCAAACGTTTATATAGTCATCCTCTTTTTACAGTCAACTTTATATATTTCAATCAAAGTCTCTTTCTCTTAAGTAACTTTATTGCGGATTCGATTTATAATTTAAATTGTTTAAGATGCTTTACGTAACTATTCCTACTGAACCAACACTTTTACTATAATTCTTGTCTCTTTAGTTGCCTCCCTTAAGTAATTTATTAGTGTTTTACTCGGTTATACTGAAATTAACATTTTTTTCAGTAATTTTTTTTTTCGAATGCCTATTGAAAAGATATACTCATTAAAGATTAGATGTGTCATACTTGACTATATGTAAATTAATATAAATCTCTTGGTGATTTTTTTTTCTAGTGCCGTTTTGTGGATTTGTTAATTAAATTAGAAAAAGGTGCCTAACGTGTCTATAATGGCCAGTGTCGGGATAAATTCTTGATGAGCTTCGCGAATTGCCACGCGATTGCCTTCTACTGAAAAGATCACCATAAATCCGGGTCTTTCCGTTCGGCCAATAGTCTTTAAAAGAGAATCCAATTAAATTATAGATTAGATTAAAATTTACTAAATTTTTAACGATAAGAATTACTGTTTGGCTATTCGTTAACGTTCCAGGAATCCAACGGCGAGTCACGTAGAAAATATTGTGCTTGTGGCAGGCGTGACGAATGAGTTGATCGTACTAAAAAAAATATTAAAAAAAAATAATTCAATTGTTTCACAAAAGTTATTGAAATTAAAATGAAAGTTTTATTAATTTAATATATGAGAAAAAATAATAAAAGATTAGAAATTACAATTTGCCACCTGATTTGATTAGTAATTACATAAAAGAAATGTAATTGATACTAACAGACAGTAAAATAATTAAATTTTTATTGTATATCAATTCCTTTCAATCTTCAAATTTATAATTTATTATAATTAAATATTTTTATATAATAATTACACTGAAATTTTTAAAGTTCTATAATTTTGAGATTCCCTTCATTCAAATTTTAAAAAATCCACCCAAATTTTCCTAAAAGTTCTATTATTTCGAGATTCCTTTTAACTCTAATCTTTTTACTTGTGGCCTTAATATAAAATTTTTTTTTTTGATTACAAAAAAGGATTGAAATTTATTAAGTTACAAAGTTTAGATGCCTCATTCTTAAAATTTATAAATTCTTTTACTGGTGGCCTTTAAAAAAATATTTTTTTAATTAATAAATAAAATCGAATTTCTTTTATAGTTTTATAATTTTGAGATCCTTTCACTCTTCGAATTTATAAATTCTTATAATTAAATATTTTTTCAATTAATAAAATACAGTGAAATTTTTTTCTATAACTTGTAAGATCCCTTTGCCTCCATATTTATAATTTCTATAAACTAAATATATATTTTTTAACCATAAATTATAATCAGATTTCTCTGAAATTTATATAAATTCGAAATAGCTTTCACTTTTTGTTGAAGTTAACAAATAAAATTTGAATAAATATAAAATCTAATCTTTTAATTTATTGATTTTTAACCCAATTTTAAAATTAAATTCAGAATGGAATTAAAATTATAGAGAAATTAAAAAATTAAAAAAGATTATAGAGTAAAAAAGTTTATTAATCTCTTTAAGGTTGTTAAATTATAATAAAGCTACTAAAATATATAAATAGTAACAATTGTAATTTTACATAATTAAAAAAACTTATAATTATAGAAAAGAAGAAATCTTTAATTTAAAATCTTTATAATAATTATATTTTTATTAAAAATATAAGAAAGCTACTAAATAATAGAAAAAGTATTATTATAAAATTAAAAAAAATCTCAAAATTATAAAAAGAATTATTGAAATGAAGATCTTAAAAGAGCTAAAAAATTACTCAGCATTCAATTTTATAAATTTTTAGACTCACGAAATCCATAAAAGACAAATAAAAAAGTTAAAGACAATTAAATAAATTATAATCTTTATATAGAAAAAGATTATAAACAGAAGAAATGAATTTAATTATTCAAAATTTATAAGTTGAGCGAAATAATAAAAAAAAATAATAAAAGTATAAATTGTAAAAATAAGTCGATTAAATTAAAAAAAATAATTAAATTCTAAAAAAAAATATTTGAGAAATGAAAAAAGTTAATGAAGTAAAATAATTTAAAATAAAAAATTTAAAGTTGATCAAATTAAAGTAGTAATCATCTAAAAAATTAAAAAAAATAAAAAGTTGCTCCAAATAAAAATAGTAATAAAATCTAAAAAAAATAAAATCCCTGAAAAGTTAACAAAAATAATTAATGTACAATAAAATCTTTAAAACTTTACAAATTAGTTATAAATAAAAAAGATTTCGCTTAAATCAATAAAAAAGGTTAAGAATTTGAAAAAGTATATAAAAAAAATAAATTAAAAAAAAAAAATCTCAAGAGTATTGAATTAAGAAAAAAATTAATTAAAAAAAAAGAGTTCAGTAAATTTACTTTTACTTTTGAGAAAAAATTTAATTTAAAAATCTTTATAAAAATTATATTTATAAATTCAACTTTTTCGGAATAATTAAATTTTTTAAAAAAATTTAATTATTAAAGTTTATAATTAACATCTTCAAAATATATGAATCCTTTAATTTTACTTCAAAAAATTTTAAGATCATTTAAACGGTATAAACTTTAAAATAATTATAACTCTTTTATTAAAAAATTTTTTTAATAAAAATAAATTAACAACATTAAAATTTTTTTTTAATGTTGATAAATTGAAAATATTAAATAAAATTTATTCAAAAATATTTAAATTAACGTCTTCAATATGAATCCATCAAATTTACTTCAACAACTTCTACAAAAAAGTAAATTTTTAAAAATATTTATTAAATTTGAAAATTTTTACTAGAAATTAATTTTTATTAAAAATTTAATTTGATTGGGTAAATAAACTTTTATAATAAAATTTATATAAATTATTAATAGTTAACCTCTTTAATATAATTCCATTTAATTTACTTCAACAACTTTCAAAAAGATTTAATTAGAAAATTATTATAATAATTACTAAGTTTTTATATAAATTTAAATTTTAAGAATTCAATTTGTTCAAATTATAAAAATATAAATAAAATTTATTTACAAAAAATTTTTAATTTACAACTTTAAATAATTTTTGCGTTAAAAAAACAACAGAATTTTATAATTGAAAGTTTTTTAATTTCCTTCAATCTTCAATAACTCCGCAAAATTAAAATAATTCATAAGTTGCTAAACATATTGTTCGCCAGTGGCAAAGTAGATCATAATTCCCAAAAAAAAATATTAAGTAGAAAATTTAATAAATTTAGAATTAAATTAAATAATTGAAGGTATTAATAAACATTTCCAATAAAATTTTAAAATTAAAAAAAATTTAAAAATGTAATGTAAATAAAATAACGTATTTTTACCTTTAAAAAATAAAATTAAATTAATTTTTTCGCTAAACAACCTCCATTCGAGCGCAGGTGAATAAAATATCAACATCATTATAAGCTAAAGTCCTTAGGAGAGTCAAAGAACGCTTGAGTTGGACAATCTTGAAAAAAAAAATATTGTTAGAAATCTTATAAAGAAGTAACTATAAAAAAACAGTTTGATCAAGATCAATGATGTGGATATCTTCTCGCGTTCCATAAAGAAAAGGCTTAATTGCAGGATGCCAACAGCTAAATTTTAAAAAATTTTTTTTAAATTCCTATATAAAAGGCTTTAACTTTGTAAAAATCGCAAAAGGTTTTAAAAAATATTAAAAACCGAACAATCAGTTTTATAAAGTAAAAGATTATTATTAGAGGTATAAAAAAAGCATTATAGTAAAACAGAAATGAATATTATGTAAAAGCTTTTAAAAAAAAAGCATGCCTTTTGTGATGACCATAATGCGCTCTTACTTTTATTAAATCTTCCACGTTAAAAGATGATAAAACAGAATTAAGTGATTCCAACAAAACAACTTTATTATTTTCAGAAAAGTTATAAGAAGGTTTCATAGTGTTATTATTAAACTTTTTTTCTAGTATGCTGACACCAGTAGTCCACCTTCTTAAAGTAGGATGGAGCTGTTTGAACACTCCAAGTTTTTTTTTGGTTAACATCTTTTAATATTTCTTTATAACATAAAAAAATAATCAAATAAGTTAAAGGAAAAAGTGATAGATACTTTTTAAGTTAAGAAATAATTACCCTTTCTTTGTAGCTTAACAACAAATAAAACATACTACTATATGTTTTTATAATAAGTACAAAAAGCCCCACTCAAGCTTGAAGGTCTCTTGCTGTGCACAGCGAACCACAATTCAGGAAAAAAATAAACGTTAGAACTTAAGGTCGCCCGAAAGCCAGTAATATTTCCTATAAACAATGTATATCTTTAAAAAATTTGAAGGACATCATATTCTTTTTTTAAAAAAAGCGCTGGTGGTATATCTAACTATAAAAATTTTTATTTTAACATATAATTATATAATAAAGAGATTAAATTATAGCCTTACACCTCCTTCTCTGATCCACGGCCTTATACTTACAGATCTTTTTTTAATACATTTTCTACATTTTTTAAAGGGAGCATTTTATTTAACAAAAGTAACTTTATTGGAATATATAATTTTTTGTAGTTTTTTGCTAATAATATTTTTATCGCCTTCTCACAGCCTTAAGATTTTAGTCGGAAGACCTACTCTCAGAAATTTTTTAAGAGTAAATCCTTTTATGATAGCATAAACTTTGCAAGGATAATTAGATCTTCGACATAGGGAAGTAAACTAGAAAACTACTTGATAAAATAAAAAGTTATCTAACCAGAATTATATTTTTTGATTTAGAACAATTATTAAAAAGTATAAATTGTATAATGAAATAAACTACAGAAGTCGATATCTACTTTTTGTTTTTTTAAGCAAATAAAAACTCTCAAAAAACTCTCCCTACTTCAGGAAAAAAGGTTCCATTCGAAATTTTATGCTTCCGAAACAAGGCTCCAGAGTATAAACTAAACTGAGAACAACTTGTTCGAAGTTATAATGAAAGAGGAGGAACGTTTCCCTTAAAAAGACGAGATTTGGAAACATTCCTAGATGCTTCGATCAATATATAATAAGCTGCAATAAAGTTGTTTCAAAATAAAATTGACAACACAGCCGCAGAATCTGCTTTCCTTTTAAGAGTAGAAAGTATGAATTTTTATTCAGGCTTCCCTCTTACCGATAATAATCCGGGCTTTGGTGTACCGGAGACAGTGAATGCTGCCTGGACGAGGCTGTTATGTTATTTAACGATGGATGCAGTAGGGTTAACACCTTTGCAAGTCACTCGACTTCAGAACCGTCAATAAATAAGGCGGAGTTACTGACGGATAAAAAGGATATATGTCAAAACTTTTAGAAGTTGCAAATGAAACATTGAAACCTTGTAAACTGCATCGATGTCCACAGAAAAAAATCGTCTGACAAAAGTTAAGTCAACAGACAGAAAGAGGACGGTTAACAACCCTGCAAACAAGTCTGTTAGACCAATACTACATTCTCCGGTGAATCTGATTTCATTAAAGAATCTGAAAGACTTATTGGTTAAGAAGCCAAAACAGAGAGAGTAACTTAATGCCCCAGGCAAAATCAGTTTGGTCCTGTGAAGGGCAAACCTTCCCTTTATAAGAAAAGGAAGGGAAACTGTGAGGCTGAGGGGTCAAGGACGCAAAACCGAAATTTTAAGTTAATATTGATAATAGTATATTTTGGAAGACCAAGAAAAGCTACTCGAAGGACAACCGAGGCATGACGGATTATCTAAAATAAAAGGAGACATGTCTCTTCCACTAACTTAACGCCCGCCGTTAGTTCAAGCTTGGTTGTTCTAAAAAAATCCTCCTATAAAGTTCTAATACCCCTAACCTTTAAGCGTGCTTAGAGCCAGTGGCTAGCTCATACTCAAGCACCATTCTGTGAAATCAACGACAGGCTTACGCTCCGCACAATTGGTACTCTGCTAAGTCTGTATATGTAGTCTATAATTGCAAACCTCAAATTTTGACAGCAGACATTTTTAGCAAAATATTTTTTTTCAATACCCTTTCGACCATTCCACTGCCTGGTGATGGCTTGTAGTTACAAACTGAGCTTACACATTTTTAAACCAGAAATCGAGATGTGACCTTACCCGTATAAATCGATTTCCTATCATGATTACTCTCTAGAGGGGTCTTTCCATTTAGACAACTCTTTAAGGCAGTTTTTCACCCCTTCTGCTGTAACCTTCTGAAGGGGGAGTGCCCGTAAACCTTTATTTACTCAAAATTACACTCGTGTGTTTTCGGCATTATCCTCATAGCAACCACTAAACGCTCCAAAGGTTCTTCTGCTCTATCAATTAATTTAAGTTTCTCCCAGGAAGTATATACTTATTTCTAAAAAGTTAACGTATGCAGACCCGTTGATAACATTGACTATTAATCGTAGGATATGCCATCACCAATCAAACATTAAAACTTTCCTTTCCTTTCCTCGCCAGAAATTAATTGTCGTGAATTTGCTCACTTGTTCTACAATTAAATGTTCATCAGCTGGAGCCTTGGTGGTAAACTTGCAATAATAGCATTTTTACCAGTCTTGTATTTCAATATCCATTAAATATTGCTCGATATATGATTAACTCTTTAAATGCTTTTTCCCCTTACAGTTTCAACATCTTTATCATAAACTCCAAGTAGGCTTTTATGATCTCCTTTGACTATAAGTTTTTTTACTTAGATAAAAGAAGTCTGTTGGATTGTTAGTGGACCAAGCGACAAAGCCTCCGTATATTCGTTAAGCTATACTCTTTTTTAAGCTTCATATAATTTTGTACTCACAAATGCTATGTAGTACAAGCGGTCTCTCCATATCTTTGTAAGAGGACACCTCCCTTTTTCTATACAACGTTGACACGGTCTAAAAAAATAAGTTATAGCCATTAATATATTCGACACATATTTTCCAAATTGATAATCTTGCTCACCACCCCTCACAAATTTTATTTTATTTTTAACCTACCCAGCAGCTGGGTGGTTACAGAATGGTGAGAGGCGACTACTCCAGTAGTTTTTTAACTTGCTTTTGAACGCTTAAACGCAAATTTCTTCTATGCCGACTTTCGATCTGGTAAGCCCTTCCCAGGCATCGCATTTCACTCCTGATGAGCTTACAGTTCTCTAGCCGCAGTGCTTGAAATTGATCATTTCTAAATTATATAGGTTTCAAAAAAAGTTTTAGCACTATGAATCATTCGAAGGAGATCAATACGCCGAGATCTAGTGTTAACTCTTATGAAAGCTGCGCAACCCTCGCTTGCAGCGGTGCAGCGGCAAAGAATAAGAAAGTCATAGAAACAGTTGTAGTGGCAATTTATTGCATTTTCCAGTTAAAAACTTAATTTTCTTTTTGCATTTGGCATTTCAGAACCTCCCAGATTCTTGAGCTCGGGGTTCCGTAGGGGCTGGGGTTGTTTTTTGCTTATAGTTGCAGGCAAAAATAAGGTTTTTTTTACTTGTATGAATGGTTGTAGGTGTACTGATTTTTATAATTCACCTTCATCGCCTGGCGTTTTTAAAAGCCATTAAATGATTTTGAGTTTAATCGAAATTCTGCAGGATGCCTTTGCTTTTATTACCAATTTTTAGGCTATCACTTCGGAACAATGAATTTTGCAATCGCTAAGTTAAAAAATGATATATCGTTTTAGCCGTCTATTTATTAGTGCTTGCAAAAATTAATAAAGCGCTCTTTTAAAGGGACAGTAAAGCTCAAGAGGATATTTTAGAAAAACGATTACCGCAATGGCTTTAGAACATTTACAACCTTATGTATATATTTCTATAAGGGAAAAAAGGAAGAAAGAAAATTTAAAGGTTTAGTATTTAAAAACATCGCTGTCTTCATGTCATGGGGAGATGGCCCTTGAGGTCTTTAACTTTGTAAAGAAACCACCCTCCTTGGTCCTCTCGATAATAAAATTAAAATTAGTTCAAGTTATGGCAGATAAAAAGGCTGTAGTACGTCAAAAAGATGAATAAATTAAAAATAAAGAAAAGAAAAGTAATTCCCTTTAGACGCATCATATCTTTGTAAGCCTTTACCTTGAAATTAAAGGTTTTCACAACTTAAGATTAGTTTTCATATCTTGAAATTTCCCGTAATAGCAAACTTTACTAAATTAGTTAAGGCTGACGACCTTTCAAATATATATACGGTAATTGAAAAGGTATTTTATGCTTATAAGAGTATAAACCTATGCGGATCCTATTTTTTGAGAAAACTATTACTAACAATAATATTAAATTATTCTAATGCCTAAAGAAATTTATAAATTTATAGTTGACAAGGTTTGCAAGGGTAACAATTTTTTAAATAATTTTTAAAACCCACTAATTTTCCTAAAATGGTGTAGTAAAAGCAGTAAAAGAACTTTTAGTCGGAAGGCATTACCAATATAATAATGGATCGAGGTTCATACTTTTTTTTTAAATATTTTTTTTATCAGTTTACTTGTTAAATATCCTAAATGATAAATAATTCATAGTATTTTGTCTGTTAAAACTGCTCGTTTAAAAGAAGAAGTTTACAATCAGCTTAAAAAAAGTAATACAAACCCTGTCAAAAGTCTTTGAGAGCACCTTCTATTGTTCTAACCGTAAATAAAATAAATGGAGCAATATCGTTTTTTTAATTGAGTATATAAAAATATATATAATTTCAAAATATATAGTAGCTACGACAATTACGGTTTTACTTTTTAAAATAAAATTTGCTAGCTTTAAAGCAACTTATTTCTATTAAACTATAAACTCTAATTTGCAAGAATTTTGAAGTTTCACTTTTTATGAAACAAGACTTTTATGGCTTGACCTCGAAACGCTTGTTAAAAGTTTTGTTTGCTCTCTAATAAATATAAAACAATAAGTAAAAACAAAAAATAGTAAAACAACACAAGAAATTAAGCTTATACGAAAGGAACATGAGAAATAAACTCTGTTTGTTTGTGGACTTCTACCTGTTTTCTTAAATTTTTTTTTACCAAACGCCGCTGACCAGTTGTAGACTTTTTCAATTTGCTTCTATTTGGCTGTTTATTATTTCCCTTTACAAAACTGTACTTGTCTTTCGTATTTTTTCTTAGTTGCCATCTTTTTTCTTTTGTTTTGGTTAATAAGTTACTTAAGGGCTCATCTGCTATATTTTTTCTTGAATTTAACATTTTACTGCTACCCGCTTTGGATCTCGAATTAACTAATACGCAGTGTAATCGACAAGTTCTCATTGCTTCTTTACTGAAATTTTGGTGCTGGAAATTATTCTTCACTTTACTCTTTAACCGAGAACGTAGTTGCATTTGGGCTCGCCGCTTAACGCCTCTCGTAATTATACTGCGCTCATACATAAAATAGGATTACATAACAGCGACAATGATATTAAAATAAAGTACCTTAACTTATTTTTTACTGGAAGAACAACTTTTTTCTTCAGTTTTTTTGTATTTATATTACCTTTTTGAGTGTCCAAAGTAGAGTTGGTTGGGGTAGCAATTTCAGAGTAATCTTTATTGTCCATCTCAATTAAGTTGAGGGAAGCAGTGTCCAAATCTTTATTTTTCTCATGAACAATTTTTACGTCACAGTCCGATAGTAAAGTTTTTTTGTTAATAACTTCTGCATTTCCGTGAATCCCTGTAAGGACGACAGAAGTGGTGTCTAATTTTTTATTATCCGGGGGTAATTTTTTTTTGTTAAAGGTGAATTCAAGATCGTGACTCTCAAGACTTTGAGTCAAGCAAGCACTATTTCGCAAAGACTTTGGAGTAAAACTTTTCTTTTTTTCTTTTTCCATCCCTTTTAATAATAAGTTGTTTATTTCCCAGGATTTATTTATTAGGTTAGATGGTGAAACGTTCAGAGACTCAAAGTTGTTTTGACTATTGTTTTCTTTGTAAGGAAACTCGTAGCTAATGTTTTTATCGCAAAAGATTTGTAAACTTTTATCTTCTGGGTATCGATTACCCTCTGACCCCTCCGGTTCATTACCTTTAAATTCAAGTATATTCGATAAGGTTGTGTTTGGAGGCTCATCTTTCATAAGTTCCGTAAGGTTATCAAGGCCAAAATCTATAAGGCCGACACCCGATGGGTCGCAAACCAAATTTATATGGCTCTTTTGTAATGCATACTGGTTATCTTTGTATAATGTGGGCACTGCAGTTGGAATCATGCCAAGATGCGAGTTGTAAATGGGGATGCCAAGGCCGCAGCAACTTGAACTTTCCTGCGCATAGGGGAATTGGGAGGAGCTTTGTTCTTTTAATGCATTATTGTATTCTTCATTAAAAATTTTCTGTCTAAAGTTTTGAAAGTTAACGCTTGTATGACCCAAAGGGCCACTTTCTAATTCACTTATATTGACACGAAACATGTTTGGCTTCGCTTTCGAGCTAGATCTTTCATCAAGCACTAAAAATTGTTTTTCTGGTACACTCTTTAAAAAATTACGGTTTTTGAAGGAAAAAGGTTTCTTTATTTTAACAGAAGCTGTTTTTAAAATGTCTTCCATACTGCATCTACTCGGATTATTTCCATGCAGCTCCTTTAAATTAAATTCTCTAAACACAGTTGGAATGAAAAGCATGCTAAAAAAGTATTTTAGGGCCTCCACTACATTTTGATTAGAAGTCTTATTTAGTTGAAAGATTTTAGGCTGAGAACCAGTCTCCGCATTCTTTTGAATCTCCTTGCGAATGAAATTTGGATCGTAATTCTCCACTTCGTCTGAGTACTGCAAGAACTTTTGAATTTTAGAAGGTGATTCGACCAAAGCGGGGGTGCAATTATTGTGGTTTTCGACAGAAGTCTTATAGGCATTCAATAAATTAGTTCTTAAGGATGGAGGAGAATTCCCCGAGAGAGGAGTTAAAGGTTTGGGAGATGAGGAATTATTAATCAAAGACTCGCAAATGCCTATAAAAAAAAGAGAGTAATAGCGCAGAATTAAAAAAGCACCACAAATTTATAAGAACTTGAAATAAAGATACCTTCACTGTAGGAAAATGTTCTGAAAAGATCGCTAGGGGAATCTAAGATGTGAATGATAATAAAAATAAATTTTAAACGTTTTGCTTATCATGATAAAAAAGGGTGCCTGCCAAAACTTCCTCAAAGATTTTTTTTAAGGGAGTTTTCTTATTATATACAAAGCTTAGCCATATTAACAACTTTAAAATTTAAAAATCACTTATACCAGTGAACTTCTCCTTCTCACCAAAGAACAATCGTCTGTGGTATATACGGTTTAAAAAATAATACAGAAAGGTAAGTAGGACGGACTGGTCGCAATTCTTACAGAATTCTTCAGGGAATTGTAAAGGTGTAGAATTAAAAAAGGCCATCTGTTGTGTATCCTTTTAAAAATGCGTATAAACAGCTTTTATCATAGCGCCAGTAGTAGTCGTATACATTTTTCATTTACCCTTAAAAGCTCGAATCTGAACTCGCGATTAGAAATGACAAACAAGTCGTGGTCTTTAAGTAAAACTGGTCCTTCCATTTTCTTTCCATTAAGGAAGGTTGACTTGGACTCGTCTAACTGTTCTAACCAAATCTTTGTCGAAACTATAAATGAGAAGTACTGTATATTGTATATATAGTAAAACATTTCTCTGCTCATCAATAAGCAGGCGGGCGTGCAAGTAACCGACATCAAGACGCTGAATTCTTATGTCACATTCTATATTGCTTTTATAAATTAAACCAAATATTAAGGTTTTCTGAATTGAAGTTTTTACTCAGAGTCACAAAACTTTTAACCTTCCGATAGTTAAAAGCGGTTCTTCTTCGACAATTAATAATTCGCCACATACTTTTCCCTTGTCTTGTGAATATATCGATATCCTTCCCAGTGCATTTTTATTCATTAAGCTAAAAAAATAATCAGTTGGCAACCAAGTCCTATTTCTCAAACATAAAGGAATTAAAGGCACTTCCGGACTTTAAAACTCAGTTCAACTTTCAAGGAAAACCTCTTTTTAAGTGGCTCGTATAGCGTAAGTAAAACTATTTTCTTAAAGTTGCATGGATTGTACATGATTGGTTAAAAAATCCATAACAAATCGATACTTCCATCGTGCCTGATTAAGTTTAAAAAGGCACTAAATATACGCCTTTTTACATAAACATTTAAACAATTTATGTATGTTTATTGTTACTATTAATAAATGCTTCTTATAATAAGATACTTGACATACCACTAAACAACGTAACTGCTCCTAGCTAACTTGAAATTTTGTTACTAATTTATGAAAATTGTTAGAAATGAAAGATTTAATTTTAATCAAGTGTGTGCATACAAGGTATTCATACGTGCAGTATTCGCTTCATTTTTAATATGCACTTCTAAGTTAACATTTAGTAGTTGTTTAAGGCTAGTAAATTTAACGGGAGTGCTAGCAAGCGAGGTATATTATATAACGACCGGATTCCTTGATAGACGCTATAATCTACCTATATTGAAATTTCCTAGAAGCAGTGTAAGCTTAAAACTATTAGTTCCTTTTTTATAGTAATTACAATCTTTAATATAAAGGAAAAGGGTTCTAACTTTAAAATAGAGGAAATATAGGCAACTTTACATTCCTCAATTTATTAGTTTGTAGCCTACCTTAACCCCCTAATAAAGGGTAACTTAGTAAAATCTAAATAAAATTGTATGGATTGCGAATGCATATAATAAGGAGATATCAGTGAATAAATTTTTATAACACAAATTGGGTTTTTAACAAACCCGAAACTAATTAACTTAGTCAAATAATAAATAATCTTTTTAATTGGTATATAAATATGTATAACAATTTATTTAATAGATTTTTCCATAATAAATTTATGAAGAACAACACCATTTATTAGAAATGCTGACCACTTTTAACAAATGAACAATTATTTATGCACATAAAATTAGTCTAATGGTATTCAAGTTAAGGACTAGGAGTATAAGCAGAGGAAGGCTTGGCGTTGTGCAACAGGGCTCAGGTCTCACTGTAGCCTATAACAAATTAACAAAAAAGGGGGAAGTTAAAGGGCTCAACTTATATCTACTGGATTTCGTTTTTCTAAAGTAAATATTTATCTAGAAGAGAGTTAAAATTTTTCTAACAGTAGTGTTAGTGGCATAGGTTATTCAAGTATAATAAATACAATGATACAATCCGACAAAGTTCTTTAGCCTCGATATTACAACTATCTCCTTGTTAAGGTTTATTAAGTAACAAAGTAAATATATAAACTAGTTTATATAGAGCCAAGATTATTAATCAGAAATTCATACAACTTAAATTTAACTAGATAAATATGATAGTCTTCTTTTGCCGGAGTTTGTTCGTTAAACGATAATACACTTGTTTTTAAGAGGAAAAAAAATTCTCTAAGTGTCACGGCAAGTCATCAAAAATCGTAATTATAAGAATTATTTTACAAGAGTTGGTGAGAGGTACAATTTATTATAATATATATTTAAGTTAATCTAAAGAAATTGTTTTTAGGGTAAGCTCTATAAGTTTATAATTTGAATACAACTATATAAAAATATGTGACTTTTGACTTAACAAGTACTTCTACCTTATAATTACAAATATATATTATGTAATAGTTATTCATCAATAGAAAAATCTTATTCGAAGCATCCCAAAAATGTTTTACTATGGTTTTTGAGAGATTCTTCATATCTTTTAACAAGGAAAAAAAAAAGATACTTCTTTAAAGAGAACCAGCTAGCCCATTTCGGAAGTGCTTATTTTCAAAATTAGTTATAATATACTAAAAACTTTCGTTAAGTATTGAAGAGCAAAAGGATGTAGACCCCCATCTGCTTACTAAGTAATCTATATATTCCCATCGAGACGAACTTAATTAAAAGATATAGTTTATAGTTAAATATAAATTAATTAAAATTTATAAATTAGTAAAATAACTTTTAATTTAAAATACAAAGATAAATGTATATAAACCTTTTTAAAAAAACCATAGTAAAGTTAACGCTTATTTCTTCTACTAATTTAACCAATATAACATATTTTGTTCATCTTTTACGCAATGCGTATAAAAAATTAATTTCTATCCTTTATTATTTCTCGTTACAAAAAAATAAAATACAACGGATTGATTCTCCATTATTCTATAAAGGGAGTTAAAAAGGGGATTTTCAAAATCTTACAACTTTTCTTCTGATAACGATTTATATGTATAAAATTCAGAAAAAAAGTAAAATTAACTAAAGAATCTAAAGATATAACTTTCTAAGAGTGAAAACTATACTTTAAACTTAATACACTAGTTAATCTGATTATAGGAGTAAAACTATAATTCTTAAATTTAAAGTATGGAAATTTCTTTTTTAAATACGCTTTGTTATCAGAATATAGCTCAGTTTAATGAATGGTGAAAAAATTCTTTAACAATAAAAACTGGCGTGATGGGCATATAAAAAATTCGTTACTAGATGCTCTTTAGTGAAAGTAAAAAAACTCAATAAAAAAGAAAGTTTCTTAAATACTTAAAAGCGCCGTGTAATGAGTTATAAATTGTTCATGTTAAAATAATATTATCTTCAATTTTAAGATAAAAAGGTTTAAAGGAGAAGAATTATTTTAACAATTAACGATGCAGTATTATGGGCTTATAAAAAATGTAATTGTTATCGAACGCTCTCGAACATTATAGGGAAATTCATACTTTATACTTGTTAGCAGAATTATTTTTCAAGGTAAAGTGTTATTATTAACGGCGATTTAATTTAAGACTTTTCTTAATTCTTGGGGTAAATATTATTTTGAATAAGATCGAAAGTTGAAGGGAAAAGTTAACTTTTAAAAAGTAATATTACAACCTTTTTATAAATAATAATTAAACCCTTTGGATTTAAGGATATTCCCACAGTAAAATACGCATACCGATGTTCAGTCATTATCTTTTATAAATACTTAATCAAAGTGAGTATGGTTGCGCCTATACTTATTATTTACAAAACAGACATGGCAGTTAAAATATTAATACTTATTTCAATGTAAAAAGTAAGTTAAGGTGTATCATTATCTATAGTATCATGCTACAGCATAAGCTAAAAAGTATCTTAGAATTTAACCAACAAAAATAATATTTACTAAAAATATTTAATTTTCGATTACTATCAGAGTATATTTTAAAAATTCATAAAATTATCCATATAACCGACATTGAAAAATATATAAATACGCACCAGTAAGAACATACCCAGCGGGAATACATACGCAACAACTAGTTTTTTCGTTGGTATAAAAACTTCTATAGTTTCTAAAGTGCGCCAAAAAATTGCAAAAATTAGCTAAAAATAGTTAACCGGATATAAATTGCATTAAAAACAGTTTAAGAACTTAGATTCATAAATAAACAAGCTGATTGTTCAAATTATCAATTATTTATCAAAATTGTTATTTTATGGTCATAACTCTTTTAATAAATGCAAGATAATTAAAAATTTTGAAATATTTATTTACAAATAAAATTAATAATACAATATGTAATTTATGTAGGAAAAGAGTAAACTTTGTATATTGTAAAAAAACAAAGCTTTCAACAAATAGTCTTTTATATATTTAAAATATTATAAGCAAAAAATATTATTACCAGAAATAGTGGAAAACAAATAGAAGAAAAATAAAAGTATGTTAATAACATTTACTAAAGTAAGAATAAAAAATTTATGAAACCTTCGGTTCTAATAAGTCATTAACAGATAAGATTCGGATTTCTTTCATAAAGTAATGAACTGTTACAAAAAAATTTTCAATATCTTTATACAAGTTTAATATGATAAATAAATATACAATGCTATAAAACTAAACCATCTAGAGAATAGGTAAATAACACTTCATAGTTATGCTAACTACAGCATACAAGAAAGTTTAAGTAAAAATATAGTTTGATATATATATAAATAAAAATTATAAAAAGACATATATGATAAAAGTAGGTGTAAAAAAAATTATTACGAAAACTTTTTTTGTCGTACAAAATATCGGCAGCCAAGGTGGTATCAAATAAAGGTAATTTTTTGTATATGTTTGTTATTAAAGCAACACCACTTTATAGGGATTATAAGTAATTCTGAAAAAAAAAATTAAAATAGAAGAGCAAATGCTTTAAAAATAAATAAACTGTTAATATAAAAAAATTATATATAAAGGAAGTAAGAAAAACCGAATTATTAGCTTGAGAACTCTTATAACACTGCTGAACTGCAGGTTCCTCGAATGAGGATGCAGAAAACAACTTGGCAGTTTATAAAAAATGCTCAAGGGTGCCGGGCACAGAAGTGCCTGCGCTCACCTGAGCAGGTGGATTAGAAAATGAAGGCGAGTCGCAATAAAATTAAAAGTGCGACTTAAAAATCGCTGCTCTTGGGTTATTAGAGTAGTTAGCGTTATGGCAAACTTTAAGATTAACATTAGCCACACCTGCATAGCAGCAGGTAAATTCACTATTTGTTAACTTTCGTTAAAGTTTATTATAGAATATTTTTGATCTTTTTTGTCTTTTAAAAAAACTTCTTGTGTTTTCCTTTATATCCCGTTCTTCGATAATTTATAATAATTTATGACCTTCCTTACTTTATTATATATTACTTTCACCAAACATATGTACCAAGTAAAATTTAGTTATTTTTCACATAATTTTACTAGTACAGGGAACCCTTGAACCAGTTCTTACAAAAAGATGGCAGAGACCTCCACAAACTATTACGCTTTACAAAAAAACGGAGTTCGGAGTAAAATTCCTTGTAATTAATTAGTAGCAAAAGAGTAGAGCGAATATATAAATAAACGAAATAGGCAAAATGAAAGATATAAAAACTAAAAAGTTGCCTACTCATAGTTAATACAATCTACATAAATTTAAAAAACACTGATAATCAAAATAAAAATATTTTACTTTAAAA